CACGATCACGCTCTACAGCTCAGAACTGACGAACACCTGAAAAAATAATAAAAGGGTGGGTCAGGCCCACTAGCAAGTTCTAATCTAACTGCAATCCATACAGTGACCCGATACGCAGATACACCATAGATACCTCACAATATCTATCTAGTCCATACATATATATATCCACACTATGGGACATTCACTGAACTACAGTAGGGATCTCAACCTGAATAGAAGGTAACATGCGAATACGCACCCAAAGGTGGGCATGAGTACCTAGACCTAACAGGGTACACCCAACCTACTATAACCAGCTACACGTCCACTGCATATACGCACCCTAACCAACAAGTTCGAGACTCAAGCTCAACTCGTGGTACCATAAACATATATATCTAAACTCCGTTCCTAACCATTCACAAGAAATCCGATAAGTCATTCGGCGTATTCAACCGTACCGACTTATATATATATAAGGAGGATTTATTTAACAACCCGTTCCCTTATTCCAAAACAGGTAGGACTGAGTATTTTAAATCAGTCTGTCCCTAGTATGCCACCGTCCCATACCGGTGCATACAATCCACAAAGTCCATATAATTGATAGAACCAGTCATACTGTTCACCAATTAAAATCCATAAGGTAGGAATTAGCATTTTGAGCTAAACCATACCTAGTATGCCACCGTCCCATACCGGTGCATACCATCCTCCATATCCATGTAAATTACAACATTCAAATGATAAGCAAGTAATTTACAATGCAAAACCAAACCCAGATAATTGACAGAATTTTAATGTGAGAATTCAGCAATTAAAATCCAATACATAATTCCAAATAATTGGTCAAATTTAATATAAGAATTCTGCAATTATAATCCAATATATGATTCCAAATAATTGACCAAATTAAGTATAAGAATTCAGCAATTATGTTCCAATACATAATTCCAGGTAAATTACAAGGCATAAATAATAAGCAGGTAATTTATAGTCCAAAACCAACCATCCACATCGTTGTAGAATAGTATGTAGTATTTCAACAACTTAAAACCAAAACCATGTAAATTACAGACTACGAATGATAGTACAGCAATTTAAAATCCAAAACCAATATCCAATTAATTACCGAAGATTTTTAAATGTTTCAGCAATATAAATCCAACCAACTAACCATATAGTTGCAGGGGATGAATTAATAAATCAACAACTAACTTCCAGAGCCTGCATAGATTACATCTAACACATCAATGACCCTATAATATATTTAAGACCATTTTATAAATATATTACATCCCACTCGAATGCCTAAAAATAAGCTTAAGCATTTAATACTTCATCTATCCACCAACCGTATGCAATTGTACATAACTGTTATACAGTTTGATCCGTTAATTTAGCATTAATCTTAAATCAATTTAGGGTCTTAATAACACCCAAAATTAACTATTTAATCCCCCCGTGAAGTCTCATTAAATTTCTAAAATTTAATCAAGCCATTTAGTTCCTTTCTCTGTTAGTAGCATACACCCTTGTATATTTTTACACTGCTTCATCCTTTGTCTTAAAGGCTTAAACCATGCAACATTAATTTTAATAACACTTAAAATTAACTACTTAGATCCTCTGTTAAGTCCCTACAATTCATTAGAATCACTCAGAAGCCCAAACAGTGCTGAAAACACCAAACAGAGCCCTAAAACCACTTTCTGGACGTAACAACAAATTGGAGCCGGCTCTTGGAATGGAGGAGCCGGCTCTTCCCCTATTGGAGCCGGCTCCAATCCCCTAGGAGCCGGCTCTTGCTGAAGGGGAGCCGGCTCTTGACTTCCCAGAGCCGGCTCTCTCCCTCTTGAGAGCCTCCAGTTCAGTCTCTGCTCCGTTTCCGTCAATCTGCTCCTTCTCCGATCAATTCCTACCCCTCTGCTTGTTTCTTAAACTGATCTAAAGGATCTAATACCCTCCTGATAGCATCCCCAAGGTTTGATTATAGCAATTTAAATCAATTAACAGAAGTAAACTTGTGCAAAACTGAAACCTCATGCATAGATTACAACGAAGCTAAAAGCAACAGAGATCTAAAATATTAATAGCAACCCTCCTATGAGATTTACATAACTCCCGTAGTCTTTCCATACGTAGTTTACAGTAGTTGCAATAAAAACAGAGACAAAACTACGACCAGAACCCTCATGCTTAAAGGACATAAAACTGAACCAACTTGCATGCACTGTAACAGATATTGCAGAAATCATCACAGAAATAATTCAAAGCATACATATGATTAATTTGATGTATAACATACATGAATGATTTAGTTATTAATTTCCTTAAAACCCTAGAGCATATCTAGGTGCACAGAACACGGCTCAAAGGGAAAGAGGAAGATAGAACTTGCCTGAATAGGTTTGCAAACAAACCCTTGTTGCCGTTGGTCTCAGTTTTTCCGACATCCACTGAAACTTGTCTAACCTCCTAGAACCTCTGCTCCTTCCTTCTCCTTGGTTAAACCTTGGAACCCCAGTCGAAATTCTCACAAACTGCTCTGTTCTCACCAAAACTCCCTCTGTAACTCTCTCTATTTGGTAGACTTTTCTGTGTAAAAGTTACGACAATATGTAATCCTAGGTTTAACATATACTGAGTTATTTATAATTGCAAGATTAAAACCCTAATCCACAGAGCCCTAACTTCGTCGGCCCACAAAGTAACCCAGTTTAGATACATATCAGATGCTTACGAGACGGCTCCAAAAACCCTAACTAAAACGTATCTAAAACCCTAGTTAATGGGAATGACATAATTACCCTGTTCAAAAATTAAATACTTAATAAACAATTAATTTAAACCCATTAATTAAATCAAATAAGGAAGCAACGAATCACTTAAAACACATAAAATAAATAAAACAAGTAATTAAAATAAACCAACAAATAAAGAATTACACCCTTAATTAAAATAAACAATAATAAATCAATTAAATCGAATAATCCAATTAAGTCAATTAATGCACACAAATAAACATTTATTCATAAAATTAATAAATAAAATAAAAATGCACATAAAATAACATTTAAATTCCAATTTTATCCCTTTTTAAAGTAGGGGTATTACAGACAACCATCCGGGCATACCCATTCGCTATCTTGGGTTCGAAAAATAAGAATGGATTGACATTTTCATCAATTTCAACGTGGTTGCTCTCTCCTGTCATGCTTGATTCGTCTACTTGTAAGGAATGGCCATACAAGAACAACCCATCAACTGGAATTTGATCTCCAATTTTCAAGTTCACCATATCTCCGACTAAAATATCAAATATGGAGATATGTTGAGGCTTCCCATTTCTCGTGACTTCAACTTGGATATTGTTAGAAACTTTGGACAATTCATCAAATTGTCTTGATTGCCTGAAGTTAGTCACTGCTGATACAACCACAACTAAAAGGACAGCGAAAAGAATGCTCGAGCCGTCATACTAACCCTCTTTTATCCCATTTTCTTTAATGCCAAAAGCAATAGAAAGGGGAGGCGAGGGTTAAGGTTAGGGTTAGAACTTTAGATGAGTTTTTGTGGTTTAGTGGTGGACCACGTGTTACTGCAGTGTTGTATAAGTGTATGGTATGAAATATGAATGAGTTTAGTAAGTATGTAATTAATAATATATATACGGTTCTGGTTCCTATTTTCAAAACCGAGATAGGGACCGAAACCGTGAGAACTGAACCGAAGCCATGGTTGACAGTTCGGTTTGGTTCCACGGTTTTTTTTGTGCAACCCTTAATTGTAAAATATAAATACAATGAATGAATATATTGTCAATCAATATCAAGTTTTCATATTTAGTATTTTGTACAAAAAAATTTCTCTTCAGTATTTCTTTATCTTATTGTTCTTCGACGTCGCCCCTTGGCTACATAACTAAGTAGAAAGGGAGTTAACAAACTAATTTATGGCCAGGATCTCCACATCGTAAACACTTGCCCATAGTTGGGTTTGCATGGGGATTTTCTCTCACAGCTGGGGCTCCCCTTCTAGCAGGGCCTATGGGTGTTGCGGGTTTCACCTTTGTTGGACCATCTCCAATGCCTCGCCATGTCATCGGTACAGGGGCAACCACGGTCTGTTTACCCATCCCCATAACCGCCCTGCCCCGCCCCTAATATTACACTTAATTTCTTGAAGTACAACATCATATACATCTAAAATAAATTTATTATTTGTCGTGTCCCCGCCATGTCCGTGTCCTAATTTTTCTGGATTTATCATGTCGTGTTGTGTCCCGTATCCGTTTTCGTGCTTCTTAGACTATAACATTGTTCTGTATAAACACTATCTAGAACACTTTAAAGAGAAATCATGTAAACGCATTAAATTCAAATGCACGCAAGATCCATACAGAAAATTAATCACATAAAGGCTTTGATTCGATTATGGGGGGCGCATGTGGTGTGTCTACAAGAGTCTAAAATTGCATCTACTACTGATAAAGTTTTAAAAGTTTATGGGAGGTCCGCTTTGTGGACAAGGAGGTAATTGATGCTGAGGGGGCAGCGGGAGGGATTATGGTCCTGTGGGATAAAATGTGGGTATCTAAGGTTGACATGTTAAAGGGAAGATCATCTATTTCTATTTTATTCTCTCTGGAGGAAGATGGGATCACAGTGGTTATTCTCTAGAGTTTATGAGTTAGTAAGGGATGTGGATAAAAGGGTGTTATGGGAGGAGTTGCTGTTTGCTAGGAGGAAATGTACAGCTCCATGGTGTGTGGGAGGGGATTTTAATGTCGCCAGGAAGCCTAATGAAAGATCCACAGGAGGAAGTTCGAGCATGCGATGAAGGAGTTTTCAAATTTCATTGACGCTCAACATCTTTTTGATTTTCCGATGGAGGGAGGGCAGTTTACATGGTCTAGTTGACGGGAGTCCCCTACGTTGTCTCGGCTGGATAGATTTTTTATTTCGATAGAATTGGAAAAGAAATTCCCAGATGTGTCGGAAGTTACTTTAGCAAGAATGGTTTCAGACCATATTACTATTCTACTCGATTGTGGAGGGGTAAGGAGAAGGCGAACACCGTTCTGTTTTGAGAATATGTGGCTTAGACTATGGGACTTCAAGGAGAGGGTTCATTACTGGTGGACAGGGTATGAAGTTAGACGAAACCCAAGTTTCCGACTTGCATCCAAAATTATGCTGCTTAAGGGGGATTTAAAGAAGTGGAATAAGGAAGTGTTTGGTAATCTCATATGGCGTAAAAACAGAATTATTCAAAAAATTGTTGACATTGATAAGAAGGAAGGTAAAGGATTTCTTAGCGCTACGGACTCAAATAGGTGGGCAGAATGCAAGGTTGAGTTTGGAGAGACTGTTATGATGGAAGAGATCTATTGGAGGCAGAAATCTAGAGCTCTTTGGCTAACAGAAGGTGATCGGAACCGCTTGGCAAATGCCCATAGAAGAGGAAACCACATCAGTAGAATATGTTTTGACGGTAATATGGTGACAAGGGATGAGGACGTACAGGCTGGTTTTGTGGTCATTTTTTCATAACCTATTCACGGAAACTGCTTCATGGAGACATATAGGCTATACTGGATGGTTTGGAGTTTGACGAAATATCGAGTGAAGATAAAGAGTGGCTTGAGAGGCCTTTCAGGGAGGAGGAGGTATTGGAAGCCTTGAGGAGTTGTGAGGGTGACAAAGCCCCAAGGCCGGATGGGTTTACGTTAGCTTTCTTCCAACACAATTGGGAGGTGGTTAAGCCCGACGTGATGGGAGCTCTTTCTTCTTTCTTCTCAGATGGTGTTTTTGAGAAAAGCCTTAATGCCTCTTTTATTGATCTTATCCCGAAGAAAAGTGTTGTTTTCGATGTAAAGGACTTCAGACCGATCAGCTTGATGGGTGTCATTTATAAGATTTTCTCTACATATTAGCCATCCGTTTGAGGAAGGTTTTAGATGAGGTGATTTCGAATTCTTAGAATGCTTTTGTTGGTGGTCGTCATATTATGGATTCAATATTGATTGCTAGTGAGTGTGTGGAGGCCAAAATTAAAAGTGGTGTTCTGGGGATTGTGTGCAAACTGGACATTGAAAAGCCATAAGTGCTTTCAAACAACAGACTTAATTTGAGTGCATCAACATATATAACAGAAGTAATTAACATCCTCATCAACACATCAGTCGTCATCACTAGAGCATTAACATCCTCATCTAGAATCATCATCTAGAATCACGTAATCCTGTTACATAGATATACATTTGATTAAGATAAACTGAAAAGAGACTTCCTATCATAATTGGTCATTTTAAAACCAACATCACTGCTACAACGATAAGGGGATTTAAATAATTCAATTAGTTAGGCAAAAAAAACTTACCTATTTTCTTTTTACCGATTCCACCCATTCCCAGCAACTCTCTTCTTTAAAAAAAGAGACCTATATTATTAGGACAAAAGAGAAAAAGTTTTAAAAGCATTAATAAACTTGTAAAACATATATTCTGAAATTGAAAACTAAACTTCAAAGTCTTTAATTCCCAGTAATAAATTATTCGAGCATTACATCATAACAATATTATATATATGTATGTAGAAACAAAAACAAAAAATCAGTATGTAAAACATAAATAAATAAACGTAACCAATAGCTAAAAATGCCCATTAAAATTTTAGGGAAAAAAAAAAAAAAAAAGAGTTTGTTACCTGATGACTGAGGAGGCATGTCTCTTGAACCTTGTTCTTGCTAAATGTTAAGGCCCGATGCTAACCTTAAAAATAAGAAAACACTCAAATTGTGAGGAAGAGGTTTCACAATCTCACTCATAACAATTAAAACACTACCATCTAAGTACTATCAGTATCATGTATCAACCCAACCCAACTATGCTTTCAGTCAAAATGTTGGACACCTATCCGTAGAGAGAGGTGTGATTGCAAATAGGTGTGATTAGCACATATTATACTCCGCTCTTATGTTAAATTAATCCAATAACAAAGTACAATACATCACTTTAGGAATAATCTTCAAAATTAACAAATCAATATCCTGATATTCTGCATTCTAATAACGAAAGAAAATCAAAAACCAAAATTTGAAAATAAAAATATGGCAAAAAGATTGAATATATCCTTCGTGCATTTCACAAATTGTATTTCTATGTGAAACAAAACATCTCGGATTTCTCAATGGGGTGGGCTAAATCAAAATATATGAACCAAAATCAACTGTTGTTTAATTCAATTTTAGTTAACTAACAATGTTTCTTTAGACAATTGACTGATTAAGGCACATAGAAAATCCTATTTGGGTAATTAATAAAAAAATAAAATAAAAAATTACCAATTTATTTCTGAACAATTCACCATTCAGTACCCTATCTCTTCTTTTGACCAATTTACTAATCTTATTTGGGAATCTAGTATTGGAAGCAGAGTGTGAGGTAGTTCATGGCAAGCCCCTTCCAACACTATGGAATTCACTCAAAAGCATGCTTTTTGTAAGTATTTTAATTTTCAAGAAGTAACTTTAGAGGTTTACCCTATATTAAGTATTTTTGCTTGTCAAAGTTCTTGTTATGATTTTTTTATTTTTTTAGTTCTGAAAAGATTTCCAGCTTGGCATGTTGATACAAATTCTTTTTTTTTTTTTTTTTTTTCATGTCCAGATTCAAATTTTCTTCTAGACATAATTGACAACAGCAAAAAATAAATAAATTTTTTTTTTTAAAAAAAATAACAAAAATAGAAGCTATAAATAAAAAATAAAAAATAAAAAATTGTTTTTCTGAAATAAAATGTATATTACGGTGATTACCTGCAACAAATTTTGTTACTTTATATTGTAAAAATAAAATAAAAAATTTATTTGCAGCTTGGCATGTTGATAAAATTTGTTTCAGATTCAATCATTGCAGATTTCTAATCCAATTCAGATTCTTTTTTTTCTTTTTTTTTTTCATGCCCAGATTCAAATTTAAAAAAAAAAAAAAAAAAAAAAAAAAAAATAGAAATACAAGTTACAGAAATTAAAAAAAAAAAAATTATTTGTTTTGTTGAAACAAAATGTATATTACGGTGATTGCCTCAAAATACAATGCAATGATTACCTCAAAATGCAACAAATTTTGTTACTTTATATATATATATATATATATATATATATATATATATATATATATATAAGATCATAAAAATTTTACCAAATAGGATTTAGTTTGCAAAACAAGAATTACAGACCTTGATCATAAAAATTTCACCAAATAGGATTTAGTTTGCAAAACAAGAATTACAGATCTTGATTAGTTGACTTAGAAAAAAAATTTAAAACAAAACCCACACATACAAGTTAGCAGTTGCAGAGAGAAAGGGGGGCAAGCTTGAGAGTTGAGAGACAGCGGCTGAAGCTTGCGAACGGCGAACCCGAACTGGAACTGCAGGCGATGGAAACTGAAAGATGTGGGTTTTGATTTTATGAAGAATCTGAAATGATATGCGGATAAGGGTTTTAAACTTTTGATTCTTGCTGATAGATAGATAAACTGAAATATATGGGTTTTGAACTTCTGATTCTTGTTTGTAGTTTGCAGTTGCAGATAGAGAGAGAGGGAGAGGAGGAGGAGGGGGGGGGGGGGGGGGGGTTCAAGTTCAGAGTTGAGAACGAGTCAAGAGATGGAGGCGATTGGGGAGGCTGAAATGATTTGCCCTAAAAATGTATTTAGCATGTGTGGGGAGTAAAAGTGAATCGGACGGTTGAAAATTGCTATCGTGTGCTTTTCAGGAACTGTTGAACCGTTGAAAATCAATTTGGTTGTGTTTTATTAATTGGTGTGTGGACGGCTAGAATTGACTATGGGGTTATGAGTCGGATCGAAATGCTTGAATGCTTAATTCTTATTAGTCCAAAATGTTACCACTGTTTATATGTCATTATGGTACTTTTGCAAAGTTAAAACCATGATTCATGATTGAGTTGCCGTGTTAAAGAATAATATTAGAGTGGTTGGATTGTTATATTCGAGAGTACCTTATCCTCTCTCATCTCTAATCACTTATCATTCATGGGCCTATAAATTTTGAGGTCCTAGGCGACCACCTTTGTCGCCTTGAGTTAGGACCGGTCCTGGGTATATTTAGTTTGGGCCTTTTATTTTAGTATGATGGATGAGTTAACTCGGGCTTAATTGGGTGGGCTGATTTTATTTATAAATATTTTTTTTGGAGACCCATCATCTATGGCCTTTAAATTTTGAGCCCCATTTGAGGCCCTAGGCAATTGCCTTTGTCACTTTGGATTAGGGCTGGCCCTGAGCTTATTAGGCTTGGATCATTACTTTAGTATGGTGGTTGAGTTGACCCGGGTTTGATTGGTTAAGCTAATTTTTGGATGAGCCAAAATTAGTATAGTAATTTTTATTTTTTTATTTTTTTTTTGTGGCCCAAATCCACCAGAGTCCACCCCTATATCCGCCCTTGATCTCGCCAATACTTGACACGCGCATCAAGGTTCGATTAATGTTGGTCTGGAACTTAGTAAACTCAGCCCTCAAAAGAGTTACTCTATCACGATCACCATCGCTGGAGGGTTGCTTCTATCTCGTGAACCGCCCATCAAAAACAAAGGCAAATCTTGGATTCGGAACCTTGCTCTGACACCAACTAACGTTGCAAAAACTATAACCCTTGAATGCACAAAGAACACACCGAAACTAAAATCATACTGATAATGATGATGTTTGTATACTTACATCTTTTGCCTTTATGTGGCATGTGAAAGAGGTTTCTCCATAAGGTGGGTTGTCGGGTTGGTCCAATTGAAGGCTGAAGCCGGTCTACCAGTGTCTGAATTTGAGTCACCAAAGTTAAAAATTATTAGAATGTCACAACTTTACATAGTAGAAACAGACTTGTACATCCTTCATAAAAATGTCACCTCGACAAAAGATTTGATTTATTTTTTTGGGAAAGATGGACTTTTCAATTACGTGACTAGAAGAAATTATGTGGTTTATCCAACCATGGCTTTATTTTAAGCACAAACTTAATTTGATCTTTGATTTGATAAATGTGATAACTAAATTTCAAAAAATTGTTAGGGGAACCTTTTTAGTTCTCATACAATGTCAAATATTTGAACTTTAACGAAAATTGTGCTAGGAAGCAAATCCAGTTATTAAAACTTATTGATTAGTACAGGGGTCAAATTAACAAGTTCCAAGAAGTGCAGGATTCATGTTTGACTATAAACATTGTTCAAGTGCAATTATAAATGAAACAAAACAAAAAGTGACTGTTTTAAACATGGAAATATGGAATAAATGTAATCAATAAATATATTCACGTGGATTGCACATTCATCATGTAAAAAGTAGAGCCTGTAGAGGTGCTTGTTGATATTGAATTCTAATGCAACTGCAGCTATGCACACAGAGATCCAGCTGCTCAAAAATCGGCTTCATGATGCTGAGGGCAAGATTGCGCCGGACGCACCGTATCTGGCGGCGGGGACGATGGCTAGGGCGGTGGATCTGTTCAAGATTTCCCTGGGATTTGTCTCTTCCAAATTTATTAATCCTCTCTCTCCTTTTTGGCTGACTTTGTGAATGGTTGCCTTAAAAAAAAACTTTTATTTTTATTTGCATCTCTCTCACTTAAAGACGCACAAAGTAGGAGATTTCAGATTTGGAAGGAAATACCTACCAACCTTGATTAATGCCTTGATGGAAGAGATCGTAATAATCCTAACATTCCCGGTCCACACAAACACACACACACATATATATATATGAGCTCCTTAATTAATGGAAGAGATCTCAATTACCCTATATATATATATATATATATATATTTAATCTCGATTTCCAGTCTGATGATCGGGACAACAAGATCGGTTAGGTCTTATTTTTTTAATAAAAAAAATAAAAATAAAAATCAGTATGGTAGGGACTTTTTTGAAGAGTAAAAGGATAAAATGGGCATTATATTAATTGAGGGGTGTTTTTGCACAAATTGAAAAGAATAGGGTGTTTCTTGCACTTACCCCTATATATATATATGGTAGTGTTCAATTGCTCCCGGTGAATAAGAAAAAATATACTCACTTTCAATTATAGTCATAGGATCTAATCTTTTGGCTAATACAATCCTTGCATTGTTTTACAATCGAAGTAAAATGATTATAATAGATAGTTTCATAAAAAGAAAAAATCAATTTTGTTTGACATAGCCTTTTAAGATTTGATTGATTAACCGTATATGAAATCATATATGAAACTTCTTCTTATTTTTTAAGATAAAATCTAAGAAAGAGTATAACAAGACAAAAATTTCTTTATGACAGTATGTCTTTATAGAAATTTCTTTATAAAAATTTCTTTCATCGAAATCATATATGAAACTTCTTCTTATTTTTTAAGATAAAAATTAAGAAAGAGCATAACAAGATTTTTTTATTTTTATTTATTCTTATGAAATTGATTACTATTATCATTTTATCTCTATTGTAATTAATTACTAATTCAAATAATATCAGTTTCCTAAAATAATGCAAGAATTATATTAGCAGTAAGATTAGATCCTACTACTATTATAATTGAAAGTGAATATACTTTTTTTTGCTTACAGGGAGCAATTGAACACTAGTGTGTGAGAAGCTCGTCCTGGTTGTGAATGTGATAATAATCTCTTAGGTAACAAAGAAGGATTGATTTCTTGTAATGCAATGATCAGGTCGACCGACGAACAGGCTGGTAACTTGAATGATGAATCAGATGACCAGATCAGTAGTCCCTCAAGAGTTGAAAGTGGGATTCATAATTTCTTGTTCGTTCTTTCACGCTGTGATGCACAATGACTTGACTGATACCATGAATACGAAATGAGGGGATGCTGCAAAGGAATAGGTACAGGGTTTCCGAAGCGAATATATTATATATATAGTTATATAATTTAGTAGTATATATCTTTAATCTGATTTTTTAATTATATAGTTAAAGAAGAATTATAATTATATTAAAATTTAATTAAAAATTATTTATTCAGTGGTGTGGAAGGTGAAGAAAAACACATTTTTTTTAATTACCCCAAAAAACAAAAAAAAAAAAAAAAAAAAAAAAGTTCATAGTTTTGAGCACTAGCTTATTTTGATTATGATTCGAGCCTTATAATATATATATATTTTTTATGAAAGTAAGAAGTTATCACAAATGCACAAATTGCAAATTGCAAATTTATGTGTTTTTGGTAAAGGGCAAACCGTATGTTCACATCCTCCTGCAGACTTATTTCCATGTTTACCAGTGATAACAACCTGATATCATCTCCTCCAATGGAGCAAGGAATGAACCACTAATACATCAATTCACCAGAAAAGTGATGACCTAATTCGATGCCACAACCTGAGATATTTACTAGTTCATCAGGTAAGATCCAAGTTCCATTATGCGCGTAAACGCATTTGTCTGAATCACCATCAATCTCAATGCCTGAGACCAGTTCTAGCAAAATGCAATTGAAATCCTAATGTTGGTACAAAAAAAAGTTGTCCAGATACACGATTTATATAAATTATACCAGAACTCTATAGATTGAAGAAAGCAGAAAACCAAGAATAGGAGGATCCAGCACTTGTATAGGTGAAAATGGAAAAAATATGGCCAAAAATATTAAATTCATGATGGAATTACAATCCAACCACTCCACTTCCCCTTGAGACCAAAATGACTAGAGAAATTATGCCGTTGATAAATCAAAGTAAGCCTAGCATCACATTCATCATCGTTTAAAAATCTCTCATCAATGTGATGTGGGTAATTCCTTTGTTCATATGTTGAATTTTTGAGGAACAGTATCGAAGTCATCGAATTCAAATCTTTGACGCTCTCTCCCAGCCTGAATTAAAAGCATATTGCTCAATTAGTTTCCAGCAAGTACCAGTTAAATTTCAACAGAAAATTTTCGATCAATGAGAATGACTGGCTCACCTTAGCTAGGTACAAAGGATCACAGGATATGAGTTCATCCATAACAGTCAGCTTCTTCGAAAGTGTCATTATCCTGGAAAGCAAACAGAAAATTCATTATTGCCTCTTTCGTTATGGTTCATACAACAGCTCCTATCAAAAACAATTACTATAAACCATTATTCTGCCACTTATCATTGTTAAATATTTTATCATTGTAACTACAAAAATGTTAGAATTTTAAAATAAACTAACTAAAGCAAAATAATAATAAAATAAATAGAAGAATAGTAATCATAACTGTCCCAAAGGTGAACAACAGACAATGCATCCACAGAACGACAAATAACAGAGAAACTTGGAACAAACATTTCAATCACTTAATATAAATTTAAGACATTCTCTTTGAGCAGGTTGATTTATTGAATTAAAGTATCAAGGAGAAATTTATTTCGCTGATTTCCCCAACAGCGGTTGATTTGGCAAGAACCGGCCGCAAAAAGTTCAGGAGCTTGTGAAAGATATCTTGAGCTCCTACTTTCTTCTTTTCCACTCCCTTATTGAGAAACCAAAATTTACAAATTTTCTGAATAACATAGCATACCTTTGAATAGATGAATCAATATGCTCAATCATCTCACACGTTTTATATTGTTCAGGATCCTCTAGGAATCTAACCATTCCATCCTTCTGGTTAATTGTTGCATATATTTCGCCATCTTGGATCTAAAATTTGATATATGACCATCAAAAACAAGTTTTAGAGCAAGTATAACATTAAAAAAGCAAGAGGGACACACAGTAACTACCATTTGAAGTACATGCATTTCTGCCTCCTTTGCACTGCTCAGCTGCACTGTGTTAGCTATGTCTTGGAGAGAGAGTGTCAAGTATGTTTGAGTCAATCTCTGGATATTTCGTTTATACATGGATGATATAACCTGCTTCACCAATCCAAGATTGTTGTCCTGCAGGGGAAGAAATCCAAAGCCTCTCAGATGATAAAAAGTTTCAGGCAAGAGTTCCATTAATTTGCCAAAACCTCAAACTATACCAAGGTAAATAATATATTGATTGAGATCATATCAGCCTTCCATCTCAATGTATTTGAAAATAATAATAACTTGATGTATACCACAAATAACTCACACTTTCAAACTTTTCCTTGTTTGCCTGGACATATGCCTCAAGTTCTGATACTTTTCCAGTGCTATAACAATTTGCCAACTCAATATAGGGCTGCTCAGAAGAGAAAAGGTAAAAATGATGGAAGAATTCAAGCTAGAAGTTTGCAATGCTCCATATTAACATGCCAAAAAATACTAATAATAATTCAAAATATGAAATCAAAGAACAAAGACTCGGGAAGAGAAAAAACTATACAAAAGAAAGAAAGAAGATATATTCATTCTTCTTGCAGATGAAATACATGGAGATTATAAAGACATCAGAGCAAATTAATAACTGTTACACTGCCCATAATGGGTAAACCCCAAATAAAAAAATTGGGCAAGCAACGTGAAGTATACACAAATTAAAAATAAGCATGGTCAAGTACCATTTAATCAAAGGTTAATGAACCTCACAACATGAGAGGGGTAAACTACTTTAGAAGTGGTGGAACAGAAGAAACTTGCATGTATCAATATTTGGCCTGCCAACTTTTGATTCTTTCCAGCTTACTCCGTTTGAAAGAAAACCAATGTTATATAACTTATAGTATCTGCCAATTAACAGTAAACATATGTATGTACGTATGCATGCAAGTACACGTTTGTGTCACATGATTTGATATTTCAAATAAAATGCTCTTTTAAGGTTGAATAACCAACATGCAAGTATCCTCACGAAAATGCTAGTTCTCAATTAACTTATTTTCAAGTTCCAATTAAAACCCTAAAACTGGACATCTGAGCTATAATCTAAATTGTATATCAAAAAAAAAAAAAAATCATTATGATCGAAAATTTGTCGCCGTCATCAGGTGTGTGTGCACATAACTTCAAAAAAGTAAGATTCGGCCCATTTCACAGAGAAGCCATATCTGTATGACTTCAATTAAATGTGCAAGTTGAACTCATATAAGCACCAAGCATTACCAGAGAAAAATTCTTTAGATTCCTTTGAGCCACTGAAGAAGTGTACTTTGGGAAGTTGGTGGAAAACTGCCATCAAAAGTAACATAAGTTAACAATCAGTTTCAACAAATGGGAAACATAAGCTTATAAAGATAAAATTTTCTAACTCAATGTTTGTCCAGGCAGATAAATTTGCCCACTCAAAACTCATCCTGTCAGACAACCCCAACCAATTGACACCTAATTATAGAACTTTTGGATAAAATGACAATATGACAAAAGCCAACAATGATGAAATAATACTATGTCATATAACTAGTCAAAAAACTAAATTGTTAAGGCAAAAAATTAATCGAACTGCAATTTACCGAATACATCTACATACATAAACAAAATTCTCTTCTACAAACTGGATCATCCTATCCAAACTGATTCAGCCATGCTATCAAGATATAACATACTCAGCAGTCACAGAAATCCACAGATTGCAACACATACCAAGTCTAAGCTAACTAAAATAGAAATCATCTAGCAATTTTCTTCATAAGTCTCCTCACTACCCATTAAAATTTAACGAAAAATATCATTTACCTCCCTCGAGGTTAGGCCTAATTACACGTAGTATCCCTAACGTTTTAAAAATTACACCGACCTCCCTCAAGGTTAGATCCGTCATAACACTTGGCCCTTTCCAGTGACCGTCAACGCTGGTCAATGACATTTTTTGATGACGTTAGCCATTTTTTAGGATGAAATACCATATTTGTCCTTACTATAGTGGCAGAGAAATTTCCACCCTTACTTTTAGCTTAAAATTACTCTATACCTGCAGTAGAAAGACAATCACACTTTATTTCTCTCCTTGTACATTTTCTCTCTAAAACCTCTCATTTACCAAATCTCTTTTGTATACGGTTCACTTTCTATATATATAATATACACTGGTCACCAATTTCCCTCGGTTGAAGTCGGAAGCAGGCTCAGGCCTCTCCCGAATGAAAATAGATCAGAAAAGAGATTATTACTCGACTGCTGTTAAGAAATCCTAAGGTTTATCTCCATCTCTAGATCTATCCATTGCTGCTGTCACCACCACGACAGATAGTTGCCGCTGCTGCAGATCAAACCTAATCCTCCGACCTCGCAGGTGCAATTGATCGGCTCCTCCACAAACACATGGCAGATCGCTGCCGGAATCAATGGACATTGTGGAGGTACAAATGCCATGGTTGTCGGAATCCAGAGAACCCATAGTTGCCGATGAGGTAAGTGCAGCGACAGTGACAGCAGTGAATAAGTGAAGGTTGTGTTTTTTATTTTATATTGGGTAATGGGTTAATCGTGGTGGTTGAGGGTGGAGTGGGGATGATGGTGGTATCGGTGGTAGATCATGCCGGAGTACTCACTTAAAAAAAAAAAAATCATGCCGGAGTACTCAGAAGTGGTTGTCCCGGTGGAGATGGCAGCAGAAATTTGGGGGCGGGGATGGTGGTGGTGTACTAGGCAGACATTGATGGGTTGCTTCAATGAGGGGATTAATTGGAAGCATTCTAACCCAATGGAATTTCCGTTTGGTTGCCACGAAAAGGCAAGAAAATGAAGGAAATACACAGGTACATAAGGTTGTTTGGTTGCCGAGAAAACGCAAGAAAAATGAAGGAAATACATGGTGTGTGTGTGTGTATATATACATATATATCTATATAGATAAGGTTGATTGGTTTGTCGAGAAAACACAAGAAAATGAAGGAAATACACTATGTATATAAATATATACATATATATATAAGGTTGTTTGGTTGCCGATAAAACGCAAGAAAATGAAGAAAATACGCACGGTTTTATCTTTTTGGGTCTCCATCCATTTTAGTTTGAATCCAACATGTAAATAATTTTCTTTGGATTCATTAGTGGATTCCAATTTTCTTTCCCAGTCACCCATATCAAAGAGTGGTCAGAGGCCTCAAGATCGCCCGAGACCGCAAGCAATCTATGGAGCTGTGTGGGGTTTAATTGAGCTAAACTACCAAAACAAATTTTACATATGGAAAGCTTACCTGTGGGTAACCAGACGTGCATCTGGTCCAAGAGGAGGAAGAAGATATGGTGAAGCAAAGAACCAGAGGATTGAATTCCAAAGGTCAAAGGGGTCAAAAGTGTCATTTGGTAAAATAATTTGGTAACATTTTATATTAATATAATAATAGAGGGTATATTAGTGCTTTCACATGAATTTTTACCGGAACCTAACGCCGGCCACATTGAAGGGATGTCGGTGTAATATTTGAAATGTTTGAGGTACCACGTGTAATTAGGCCTAACCTCAAGGGAGGTAAGTGATATTTTCCCAAAATTTAAAAATACAAGGACAAAAGAGAGTAACATAGCAAACCTGCCCAAGATGAATCAATGAAACAAGAATGTATTTTTTGTATGCTTCAACAGCTATAGCATTCATAGTCGACATTGGAGCAGTTACAACCTGGGAGCAATAAGCAATAACAATAACAATGATGAAACAAGTCAATTGATCACAGAATTGTAAATAACCAAATAACATTAGGGAACCATAGAAAGATGACAAACATTGTGTAGAAGCTCCAATGCTTTGCGAAAACGCTTTAGTCCTATGCATATCATACCCCTATCATAGGATGCCAAATGTGAAAATTGGTCAGCACGTGTTGTTGTTGTTGTTGTTGATTCAGATGCACATATAGCCCCAAGCATAAAATAGTCTAACTAAAAGATCAACAAAATCAAATATCAATTCTCAAGAAGATACAGCTAGATTGACTCACTCATTAACGTGGATGGAGTTAGTAAGGAAGAATATGATAGCATGTGGATTGACTGAGAATATGGCCATTGGAATGAAATCATAGAATTCATGTAGCCGACCCCAAGTAGTTGGGAAAAGGCTTTGTTGTTGTTGTTGTTGTGTTGTTCATGATGAAGAGGTAGCATGGTGTTTCTTTAATAGAATGCATTTTTGTTATAACTAAAACATTTGGACAGCTATCTGACAATTTAATGTGTGAAAGAACTCATAGATTATAGGATTTCAAAATTTCCAAAAATTCTTTCTTCTGTATAGGTAAACTTAAGTTTATAGGGTGAACAAGCTATATGGTATCCAGGCGACAATTGCTATACAGCTGATCTAACAATTCATTGATTAATACATCAACAATAAACTCTCACTAATATAACTTATGGTTTAGAATGCCTTATTTCTCAAGATTCTAGAATGCAAAACTCAAATGAAAGATTATATATCCTTCATAAATAAATAAACTATTCCCTCCTTGGAATTTTACCTCCTTAAATAGGCAGAATTGTTGTTACAAGAGATACTTCATGGCATTCTTTCAAAAAACTAAGCTCAAATTTAATGTTGAGGATATTCCTGTACTGGAAACAACTTATTTCCATAGAACTAGTGGTTGCTTCACTTGTTTGTAATACATTAACTTACAGGCAGTGTTGGGTAACCTACATTCATAAATAATTTTTTTGTTTAAAAAACGTGGATGCTAGTTGTACATTGCAAAAACTGCTTATACACTCACAAATAATTGAAAGGAATAATTGAATGATACACTAGCATTAAACAATTATTAAAGTGAGGCACTGCTGCAAATGTATCGAGTCTCCTTGCTTAAAGTTAAATTAAAACCATTTGGTAAAAGGGCAGAAAAGAACTCCGAAGATGCTACAATCTCGTCCATTTATGGAGTGAGAAATCTAAAATGAAAAAAAGAGAGGCTGACAACACTTCGATAAAACGGAGTCACAATGATGAAAAGAAAAGGGAATGCATCAAATAAACTAGAACATCTCCCATAATGCATGCAAGAAAACTCGAATGAAATAAGGAAAATATTACCACCAAAAATAAGAAAAAGAAACAGCTCACCCATAATAGCAGTAGAGAAAGAGGTCCCTTGGCTGATCAACCTCAAACACATCATCCTCCAAAATGTGAAGACCAGTTTTGTAACACTTAGCCAATACACAAAGAAGAAGAAAATCTGGATGCAGAGTAGTTAAATGTTCAGAAGAGGATTGAAGCTTTCGAGCAGCTGTAAGCAGCGGAGCTACACCCCGCATAGGAGCTTCAAGCATCATCACTTGGTCCTTGAACTTCTTACAAACAGATACAACTGCAAACTCAACACATCAATAGGTAAATATAAATGAATGACACAAAATACATTAAAGACATCATTTTGTAGGACAACGAGTGATACATTTATCAGGTGCCAAACGAATCTGCTCCACAGCACACACATTGATAAACCTGGCAACCAACAGAACATGTTCATTGGCTTGCTCTTTCGAAGTCCGTGTATTTGTGCATGCCTCCCTGTCAATACATACAAAAACATCAATTTTCCCCAAAAATGGAATACCCATAATAGAAGAATGATCTTAAAACCTATGCATCTCTATTAAAAGAACTTTTTTATTTGTCACGAAAAAGAAGACTATTGGTTGAAGAATTAGAACTGCTATATGAACTACTTCCCGTGTTCCAAAATCATAGAGACCAAATCCACCTAAGATGGTTAATACACACATCATTCACCTATTAATATGTAAGAAGTACATGAATTTTCCAGAAATGACAAGCATTTTGGGAAGTGGAAAACAAGAATATAAAGATGACATGCGCAAACTACAGTATGTGTACTATAAGGCTATGCAAGTTAGAAGAGTACTTTTTTCCTTTTTTGGTCTGTATATAAATTTGATGGTTAGTCTGGAAAAAATTTGAACACTTGATATGCAACAATCCTTTCGTTCTCAATAAAAAAACTTGATTTAAAAGAACATTATTCAGTATCCTTGATCTCTTGTCATAGAAAAAGACAAGGAAAATTATTACAAAGTTAGATACAATGTTCTATAACAAAACAGCTCCTTATTTTGGAATGTACATAGCAAGTTGAAAATTCGAAATGGAATTAACTTTCCATGGCAACTGCAGAGAGCCAGAGAGCATATCCTATCAATCCGCAAGATGGTGTTTCTCATAGAGCAAGGGTTCATCTTTCCTTCTACTTTTCCTTCTTTCTTCCCACATAATCTGCACCATCGCCCCTTTTTTTGTTTTTTACTGACGGAATTGGCAGGCTTATGTTGGAAAATTTTGCATACTATAACATAAAAGCCTGAGTACTAAGCTCTTTCTATTAGTATTTTATGAAATGACCCATGTAACTTAATAAACATGAAAATTGAATGGTTTCAGATTTCTTCAAAAAGGTATTAAACAATATGGATCTGTGTTAAGTTGACATTTCATCTTTGTTCTTTCATCTCAAAATCAAACTGAGTACTCAACTCCCTTCTCTTACCGTTTGCTGTTCCAACGATTAAACACCAATTCGAGTAATGGCTTTTCCGTTCTCAAAGAAAAAACAATTCATGAAAATATCAAGCTTCTTTTGAAGATATGCCCTTACACCAAATTCGTATTTATATTTTAAACAAAAATTGGCTTTGCAACTTAGGTTCTCCAAAATCAGTTTGACTGCATAATTGGCACTATATTCACAGATTTCAAGCCATCGTCCAAATGTATCACATTACAATCCAACTTAAAGCAGTACCCAATGTACATACACAGATACACTATATATATATATATATAAATATAAGTATACAAGGGATACATATACCTCTGGCATGACAAAACTTGAGCACACTTACACAGTAAAACCAATAGGCAGTGCATATATCAATAAATCTATATAAAAAATAAAAACACTGACATGCTATAGGCATACCCAAAAAGGCAATTTCAAAGTATTCAATCCCTAAACCTAACAAAGTTAAAAACAAAAACAAAAAAAAATCCTGTGTACTTCATTGGAATACAAAACCCTAAAATACAATTGCAAAGGCATACACAAAGGAACATGCCCGAGCATTTGTGTGCAATTTGTTGCGTATACAATCGGAAAGAGACTTACAGAATGTAGAGATATCCAAGGGAATGATTGGAGGGGTCGAGTTCGGCAAGAGAAGTGGCCAAGCGAGTCGACTCGGAGTGAAGAAGTTCCTCCGATTGTTTCAGGAGGTTGTGGAGGTGTTTGATGTCGTCGACGCTGCTCGATAGCCCTTGGATTTGAGCCACCAGAGTCTCCACTGAGTTCATGTTCAGATTCATCTCCTTCTTTTCCCTCTGAAACCGATTGGTGGATCGAATCAATCGAGTTCGTAATTTTGAGACGAAGAACAAGAATAGAAACCAAAAAGGTTTCGAGGATTTTCAATTATTTTTTATTTTTTGTTTTTCTAGTTGAGGCATTGAGGGCTTATATATTTAATAGGGTAAAGTGCAAATAACTCCCCTGAACTATGGGGAAATTTGCAACTAACTCCCTGAACTACCAAAAATACAAAAAACCCCTCAAACTATACAAAAAAGTTGCAGATCACCCCATTCGGTGACCGGCCGTCCAAAAATGAGCGCGTGATTCACACGCGACAGACAAATTAAGTTTTTTGGACAATAATGCCCTTCTATATATGAAAATACCAAATTATCCTATAACCACCACCACCGTCGTCTACGACCACCACCACCTTCTGCAACCACCAACATAACCACCACCACCGTCCGCAACCACCAACATAACCACCACGAAACCCTCCTGAACTCATGCCAAAACACACCGTTAAACGAAATCAAACCCACCACCATCACTACCACCTCCATCGGCATCTCAACGGCACACCACCAAACCCAATCGAACCAGTACACAAACCCACAGCCACCACCCCAATCCCGCCACCACCATCACCCGTCATCACCAACCACAGCCTAACCTTCTCTCCATCAAACCCATCACACACCGTGAAACCAAACCCCCACTAACCCACTGCCATCACCCCCTTCAATCACAATCTCTGGTTCTCCCTCGGGAACGAAGGCGGTATGGAACTGCTACTCGGTGGCGTCGAATTCCGGTCTGATAGCGGAGCACTAGTATGGGCGGCGATGGATCCGTATGCGAGCAACGAAGCTTTCAATTGCAGCAACGGCGATCTGTTCAAGTGGAAGCACTTGTAGAGAATGATTGCGGAGTAATTTGGGGTCGATGAAAACGAGAAGTGGGTGACCGTCCCGATCGGAACAGGGAGGTTGGTGGATGAGGCGAAGCTCGGCCGCTGTGCAGCTAAGCCGCAACCAGCCCATCGCCGCGAGTTAACCATGGCCGAACCAGCCCATTGCCGTTCAGCCCACCTTGCTCGCCGGTCCTCTCCACCATCCGAGCTCGTTCCAGCTGTCACCGCAAGAGACGGTGGCGGGGCAGGCGCAGGAGATGACGGCAGCGAGATCCCAGCGGCGACGAGGATGATTTGGGTTTTGACGCGTCGACTCCGCATCGTCACCATAATCGCCGACTTACCTCCTCTTCCGTCACCATAATCGCCGCCGCCGCCACCATCTTTTTCCTTCATTTTCTTCATGATTCAATCTCCAGCCTGATGCTTCTCTCTCTCTTCAATCTCCAATGTTATATATATATATAAACACATATATATAAATTCAGTTTAAAACCAGAAATATATATATATATATATATATATATGTTTATTTATTATTTTATTTCTTTATATATATATATATAATCATAAGGGCAATTCAGACTTTTTATTTTTCCGGTTAAGTCGGTCACCGGAATGGACTGAAATGCAACAAATTCATAGTTTAGGGGGTTTTTTTTAGTTTAGGGGGGTTAGTTGCAATTTGTCAATAGTACAGGGGGGTTATTTGCACTTTACCCTATTTAATATTTATATGATATGCAGGGAAATGAAATTCTGATTAGATCGATCCAACTTCGACTTGGTCCTGGGCTGAATTTGTTGGTCTGAATAGGCTTGTTTTTCGAAGGCCCATAATTCTTTAGGCCTGTCTTTTATTTTTTATTTTTTCCAAACTATTATCATTCAATAATTCAATTTGAGGAAATGGAATGGATTGGATTTGAAATAAAATTTCGTTTTTGCGTTTGGAAGTATTTTTTTACTATTTTATCCTTATTAATTTGAATTATAACTTATGCTTAACTAAAGAGAAGGGCAATTTGGTAAAATCACAAATCTACAATTAATCTGATTTGCAAATCTCATCAAATTCCACCTTTTTCATGGGATTTGAGGGAGATATATATAGTGATTTCAAATCCCTTGAAATCTAATTCTATTTTAAATTTTCTTGATTCCAAACACTAGAAATTTCATTATAAATTTCAAATCCCATCAAATTCAGCATTTCAAATACATTTCAGATAAAGTGAAATGGAGATAAAGGTTATTTCACTTTCTATTTTTTTTCTTCTTTTTTTTTTTGTTCTCTAGACAATTAACTCCTTGGGGAAACTGAAACCTTGTATCTTTTAAGAGAAAGAAAATGATATACCACTAGGCCACATGCCTCAATCATTTTGTTTAAAATTATGAAAGAAAAAATAAAATTGATGAAAAATGAAGGAACATTGTGACAATGTTCTATTTCACTGCCCTTTTGATCAGGAAAAGGGGGGGAAGATACTATTAACAGTTGGATCCACTTGCACTCCCTCGTAGGCCTCGTCATCCAACGGTTGAGAGTCCTAGAAAACTTTCTTATTTTTCACTATTCACATGATAAATTGTTTTCACTTATTTTTTTCCCGTGCTTATAAAAAATGACAGAATTAACACTATATTACCATTTATTTTATTTTCTTTCGTTTCATTTTCCCTTTTGTTCAAACTCACTATCAATAACACGAACTATGGAAAAATGTGCCCTTGTATACTCTTTAGGCATTGAGAGGGAAAAACAAACCCCGGTGGCTCGAATCAACTTGCTAATGGTTTCACGGCTCTGGCATTTAGGCATTGAGAGGGCAAAAACAAAAAATCAATTCAATTAAACATTGTCTCAAAGACTTGGAATCGGCTATAAGAATTGTGTTTTTTTTGGCCACAAGTTCAATATAATCAACCTGATTATATAGAAAATGGAAAGAAAATAGATCTTGTAAATGAAGTCTTCTATGTAGTGATTAATATACCACAATACAGTATCACTGTAGTAACACATTAGTGTTAAAGCAATGTTTAGTTCCTCCAATTCCAATGTCAAGACGCTGATTCAGTGCTCCCAAACATAAGGTAAGTTTTGTTCTTACAGCAATAATATAGCAATAATCGGTGACTTACGAATCCAGATACGATTTATTACACATCTCCACAAGGATGGCTAAATCAGTAACAATAAGTTCATCAATCCAAATAGTTTTAGCAATGGACCCAAAAAAAAAAAAAAAACCCAGCAGTCTAGATCCATGGCATAGCCATATTGGTTGAACTTCAAATGCATGATATTAAACAAAGAGTCTTGGCTAAAACATCTTTATTCTACCTCACTTGACTGCTTCAAAAAGGAGAGTTAAGACCAATTGGCCCTTCCCTACTACACTTGCCAAAAGACAAATCTAAATAAAAATTTTCATAAAGGAAAGTAGTTCCAAGGACCCGGCCGCAACTAAGAATGCCATGAAATTTCACCTTTTTGAGCAACAGGATAAAATAAGCAAGCTTTGGTTATTTAAAGCATGCACCTCCCTTAATTCTTCATGAGCTGACTTCTGCTTCAACCTCACGCTTCCTTTTGCCTTTTCTAGTATTAGAAGAAGCCTGCTGTTGTTGCTCAGCCGCCTTCTTCTCAGCTCGAATCATGGCTCGTTTTGCACGAGGGCGCATTTCTCTTACTTGTCGAGGAGGCATTATATAGGGTTCAATGGGCCTGTCACCAAAGGGATGTTCGCTGTCAGCAAATATCCTCAACTTCCGATCTCTATCCTGCATACCAAATAAGCGAAGATGTAAGGTAAATAAACACGACAATCCCACAGAGATAAATCATCTGATTAAAAATCAAATATTTTACTCAACAAATGGCTTACGCCCACCATCTATGATTTATAAATTAAACATTTATACTAAAAGAGTTGATAAACAACCATTGCCAATTCATGAAAGAAACACTAAATTAGGTCTGCTTGCTCATGAGCTATTACGAAGATTCATCGTAAGTTACCTGTTCCTATGGTGAGCACCTGCTAATGTGAAAAACCCAAGATCGTTTCTAGGATTCGTGAACAATAACGAAAGATTCATCATAAGTTTTTCAAAGATAGGTAGAGTAGTCCCCTCTCCATCAATTCTCGACAAATCATATCTTGTGCATAGTCACTTACCAATGATACATTTAAGAGTACTAACCAGTAGCCTCGATGTCCAACACTTACCACATCAAGATCTGGCTAATGAGTGTAATTTTCGTGTACAAATCTACACGAAAGTAGCTTCTGAAAATGAGATGGAAAATGCACGAGATTAACTCCTCTTATAGTGGTGATGCTGTTTTTACAGAAGGCTCACACTGGATGCCCTCAAACAATGAAAAGCATCCAAAATATACATGACAATATAAGAAAAATGAATAGCAAAGGAACAAAAGTAAAAAAAAATTATCTTCTTTGGCGCTAATTATACTCAACAAACTGTCACATTAAATAATAATAAATAAAAAAACTTAAAAATATATTTCCATGTTTTACTTCCTTTTCTCTCTCTTTTCATTTGTTACTGTATAGAGCAAGGGGAAAAAGGTTTCGTTTTTGCAAGTTGATTGATTCCAGTATAATAACATACTCCCTCTCAACAAAGCCTTTCACAATTATTTCAGGGGCTGCATAAATATAAAAAATAAAATGAGGTAAAATGTTACGCATCTAACACGGATTCAAGAGATCATGCGATCAACAAAACAAAAGCAAATTATATTGAGAATAATACAAATTCAAAATTTTTAAATGGAAGGTCTTGTAACAGGGAAGAAAAGGCCATGATAGCACTCACATCACGCAATTTGTTTCTTGGAAGCATGCGCAGGACAGCTTTGCGAATAACTTCTGTAGGATCTTTGGCTAACTGGTCCTTCAAACTCCTTTCTTTGAGGTTGCCCACATACCTAAAATTAAAAAATTGTTCAAAATCAAGAAAAATATTTAAAACATAAATGACATAGTTAAAATCATAATCATAAGCTTTTGAACTATTAGCATTTGAAAGGAATTATTTGTTTTTACATTGCACTTGAATTGAGACTAATTATTTTCCTCCTCGACTCCCCTAAAAAGAGAGTCATTAGAATTCATCAAATGACCAAGTTATTTGTTAAAAAAAAAAAAAAAAAAAAAAGACCAAGTTATTGATATTTCATTGTATCCTGAAATATGATGGCATTTCGTTTATGAACTGGATCAATATAAGGAAACCAAAATAAAAACATTTAACTTTTAGCCTTTTAGATCATTTACTGACACTCCACTAATAACTACGAGTGATAGACAAAACAACAATCCTTACTCAGTATGCCAATGATAAAACTAAAAGAAAGTCAAATTATAATTCATAAATGACCAAGTTATTTGTTAAAAAGTAAAATAAAAATGACCAAGTGATTGATATTTCACTGTATACCGAATTCTGATGGCATATCGTTTATGAACTGGAGCAATATAAGGAAACCAAAATAAAAAACATTTAACTTTCAGGTCGTTACTAACACTCCATTGGTAAAACTACAAGTGATATCCAAGAAAACTTACCCAGTATGCCAGCGATAAAACTTATCAGTGAGTTTTCTCCCTGTGACACATATATCCTTTGCATTGAGCACGATGCACATATCTCCGTCATCGCGATTAGGTGCATATGTTGGCTTATCCTTGCCTTGAATCACAGTAGAAATTTGCGATGCTAACCTCCCAAGGACCTATGCAGAAAGTACTTAACTGTTAGAACTGAGAATTTATGATTTCAAGTAAGCAAAATGGTGGCAGAAAACATCCGTGCTTCCACCAAGCTGAGGCAGCTTCATAACACATACTGCCCTCTTCAAGCCAGTGTCACAAATAATTAAGTGCATCCCCTTGCAAAATATATTTTCAAAATTTAACAGAAAGACTATCATTATGTTATTGAATACGGTCTACAACAATAATCCTTTTGTCTTATTGAACATCTATCCAAGACAGCTGATTTGCCAAAATATTTTAGGCCAATGAGTACCAAATCTATCAGTAACTAAGTGATAAATAATTAAAATATAATGAAAAATAAAGAGAATGAATGTCATGTTCCAACCTGGCCTTTTGCATCAAACACTCTCCACCGCAGACCTTCCAAATTGATACGTCTCAGGCCAGCAAGTGCTTTCTGCATGGAAGTTGAAGAGGACATCCCATTCACACACACACAAAGATTTAAAAAGAAAAAAAGAAAAGAGAAAGAAAAACTATGCAAAGTCAATAAACAAGTGACAGGGAGGCAAAAAAACTTCAAAATGGTTTTGAGGGGTTAAATACAATTTATTCTTTAATTTTTTATTGATTTTGTGGGCAAGTACTATTCATTCATGACAACAAGAACATCATATAGAACTTGATTCACATGCAGAGATGGAAATTTTCGATAGAAGTACTGCTCCCCATGGTGGCCGTATTATATACAACAAAACTTAAAAGGAATTGTGGCTTGTCAATAGATAGGAACCAAAATTGAAGCCAATAGGAACCAAAACCAGTTTTTCACAACAAAATAAATAAGTAAAAAATAATTCAAGAAACATTTAGGTTCTTTTGCATTCTTTGGCAAGAATAAAAAAATAGAGAAGAAAAGCGAGAATTTTATTCTGTATGCTGCCACTCATTCCAAGAACTAAACAGGATGCATTGAAATTAGTTAAACTATAATGAAGGGATTTCCAATACAAATGAATCCTCAATTTCAGCAAAATGACTACCTTCAAAAAATTACACACTATAATGAAGGGAACAAAAATAAACTTGATCAAACCACCGGAACATCTTAAGACACCTAAACCTTTGTGTATAAAACATATACAAAGTTTGCTTTTTTATATTAACTTCAGTCATGTCATACCATCAGATCCCTAGTAGCATGAATTCTAGGCACAACCATGCTATGTCATTGGGAGAAAAAATATATATTAAAAAGAAAAACACAAGACACCCACTAATCCAACTATAATTAACCAAAGAATGACTGATCTGTTTTCGGGTCTCAAGTTCCCGATCAATCAAAACCAAAAGTAAGTCTTGCTTGAATGTACTCACTACACACACTAAAAAACAAAAACACAAACACTTTTGCCCCAGTGTAGAACTATAGATATTTAAACACCATATTTGATTTCTTAAGACCAGCTCTCAAACTTGAAATAACACGTAACTGAAACCCAGTTGCAGCCTTTATCAACTATAACGAAAAGTTGGAAATAGAAAGACCACATCAAATCCTCTGTTGGTTCACAATATATAGCAAGACAAGCCATCAATACACTTCACCAACAACTGGTGTGCGTGCTTGCAGACAAACTGAATCAACAAGACAAGAATTCTATTAAATTTAATCTATGAGCTCAAAATGACGAAAAAAAAAATTAATTTCTTGTTTGGTAGCTGAGAAAGCTTACTAAAAGAAGTCGAACAGCACTGGGTTTATAGTGAAATAAACTTTATTTTATATTTCCATTTTCTAGCAAACAAATTAACAGGAAGTGTGAAACTCAGATTTCCAATCGATTCCCTATTGTTTCTCATCAACCAAACAGAATCACCGAGTAAACAACATAATACAAGCAAAACAATGTGAAGAGGGGGAACAGGAAGAGTTTTTACCTTCAAATTGCCACTAAATGGCTGAGCTGCAGTTGCCATCTCTCACTGGTTTTCCTTTCCTCAATCGCAGTGATCAGTTGAAATATGATTCGGTGTGGGAGAGTTCATGAAGACGATGATCGACCAGCAAACCCTAACGTAACTTCTCTTTTCATCAGATTATGGACAAGCCGAAGGAAAATGGAAAATGGAAAATGGAAAATGGAAAATGTTAATTGACAATTATGCCCTGCGTTTTACCTGACTCAGTTTATTAAATTTTCGGGGTTATTTCAGTCATTCCAGCAAGCGATGGAATTGAAATGTGGAGAATGGGAATGGCGGAGACACACCAAACCGCAGGGTTTTGTAAAACCCTAACAATATATATATGCGTACTGAGACGAATATACCAAACCTTGAGCATCAGAAATGGCGTTCTTACTGCGACGTGCATTGTCCTCTTCTCGCAAAGTCACTCTCCTCCTTCGCTCATCTCTCTACTCCCGCGATCTCTCATACTTGGCCTCCTCTCCCAATCTCCGCAACTCTTCGATTTCAACTCAAAGCATCCCCAATTTGCCAGTGATCAATTTCCTCCGAGAAAGTCGCAGAGGCTTCGCCAAAGGAAGGAAGTCGAGTAATCACTCTCACCTCATATATATATATTCATATATATGTATATACATATACATATAGACACATATTACAAATATGTATTCCCTGGAATTTTCTGTTTGTTGATGGACTGTAAGTCTGTAAGCCATAGGCATATTAGATCACTTCACATATTAGTTACAAAATAATATTCTGTTGATTGAAGGTTTACAGTTTACGCATTGAAGTCTCGAATTTTCTACACATGGACATAGAAATACTTGAGATAGGGAAACGAAATCTATATGCATTTTCTGAAATATACTGTTAACTTGACTACAAGCCACAGTGATAATATCATAAAGGGATTTACTTTGCAGATCAGCAAAACTAAAGATCTTTATTGATTAAGTGACCAAGTGTCTCTTATTATTATTATTTGTATTATAATGATTTAAGATACACCCCGCTTGAATTATTGAAATTTTCTTTTTTGTTTCGGCGAAAAACACTCAAGAGGATGATGGTGGTGATGGGGGCACATTGGAAAGTGTGAATATTGGGCCTACTGCTAAGGCGACTGCTGTCTCACATATGGAGGCGGCAATGGATGCTTTGTCACGAGAATTAAGCAAACTTCGATCGGGAAGGGCATCAGCCGGTATGTTGCTGTATGAGTTGTAGTTGGGTACTTTTGCGCTTGATGCTGAAATTTATTGTCATCTTTGAAATGTTTTTACAGGAATGCTCGATCACATCATTGTAGAAACTGGTGGCGTAAAGATGCCCTTGAGCCATCTGGCTGTTGTTTCAGTCATAGATTCAACAACCCTATCAGTATCTCCTTATGATCCGGATGTAATGAACTTTACCTTGATTAAATGAATTTTTGTATTGTTTTTCTTGTTTATATATGTATATATATTATCTCACTAGTATGTATTCTGAATACATAAAATGTGGTATTTGTTTTAATACTGTTCGCTCACATTCGGTTTCGCCATATATATTATATGCACATCTAGGCTGTAAGATGGATTTTTATTTTTTAATTATTTCAATTTTGTGTTAAATAAGAAAGATAGTTAAATGTCACGAAAATTGGCGCATGTTCCTTCATTACTTTAGCCTGTCATTTGCTCTGAACAAGTTTGTGAATATATATGTTACATCTTGCAAATGACTTATAGTAAAATTTCCCCTTGGCATAATCTTGACAGAGTGACTATCTTTTGCAGGCCTTGAAAAATTTGGAGAAGGCTATTATTTCATCTCCACTAGGTTTAAATCCCAGAACAGACGGCCAGCGATTGATGGTGGCCATTCCTCCGTGAGCACTCACTTCATCTATATTGAATATTGCTCTTTCATGCTTGCTCAAGTGTTAATGGTTCAACTTCATAATTTTAGTTGTTAATGTGATTTAGTTTTATATACATTTAGTTTTATTCATCTTTTTTTACAAAAGACATTATATTATTTGGCAAGTTTAAATATAAATTTTGTTTCTCGTATGAAATTAATGTTTAACTTATGCATAAACTATGGTGTCAGTTCTGTATTACTTGGCTGATGTAATTTTTTATGCTTGAAACGAGCAGATTGACTAAGGAGCACATACAGGTGAGATCATAACTTCTTTTTTTTTCTTTCTTTCTAGTCCTTTTTGTATTTAGTTTATTAGTATATGTGCTATTACTGCTATTACTGACATTTCACTTATCTATAGGCTATGAGTAAGGTGGTGGCAAAATCATCTGAAGATGTCAAACAGAGTATAAGAAGAGGTCGCCAGAAGGTATAGCTGCAAAATAGATATATCTTTTTCCTCTCTCTTTTTGAACTATTTTTCCACTCAGAGAGGAAAACTGATTAAAACGAATAAAAAAATCATGAATAATGAAAGGTGTAAGGTATTTTGCTGTTTGGGTGTCACAGATTATGGAGGAAATTTGTGAGCCACAATATATAACATGTCCAATAATTCAAGGAGTCATAATTAAGTGTCCTTGGAGACCCTAAATCGCTCACTTTTTAGTATGTGTAGCCAAATGTTATCGTGAATGCACTTCGTATATGGTGCACATCTGGTTTTTGTCGAAGTTTGGCTCAGTAGCATGTTCATTTGAGCTCAATAAAATATTTGTTTGTCAGTTTGGAGAAGGGTAATAGGGTATTCATTTAAGCGCTTAGTGCTACTAGATGTTATTACTTATTAGCTATGAAGTGATAGTTTTTTCTAGATCTCTCCTGTGCTAGCGTCTAACATGGTCTGTTCATAACAAAATGAACTGTTATAAGCAGTTTTCTGACTCATGCGTTCTCGTGTCCAACACAGCAAAAGTTGCTACAAAGCATGGGTTTGGGATTAAACCACAATGGTTCAGAAGTGCATAGTATATGGAATTTTCTGTGATTTTTGTTGTTGTCTAATAGACTTATCTCCTACAGGCATTGGAAACGGTAAAGAAAGCAAGTTCAAGTCTCTCAAAAGATGATGTGAAAAGATTCGAGAAAGAAGTGAGTAACTGCTTAGGAAACATATTAATAGTGAATAACTTATTAACTGCTGAGGAAATGTATAGTCATATATGTTATTTATTTATTTATGTATTTTTTCTATTTCTTTTCGTTTTTAGAAGAAGAAAAAAAGCAAACAATATATAAAATGCTTTTCAAAGGATTTAGTTTATGTGATGATTCTGTGTCTCCTCAGGTTGATGAGTTGACTAAAAAGTTCATTAAGTCAGCAGAAGATATGTGCAAGGCGAAGGAAAAGGAGATGGCTGAAGGCTGAGTAACACTTTGTTGGTTTCCCTTATTTCTCCGAGGAAGAAAATTCCTAAATCCGATTTTTATTTGTTATACTTGTTTCAAAAACTTTACAGCATTAGATATTAGAAGCATGGTAAGTGAGATGAATTAATGTTTTGAGGAGGATATGAAAATTTATTTGCAAAATGGATATGCCAAGAGTTTCAGCTTGACATTCATAAGTTTGCAGAAATAATACTGTTATGACTTATGAAGTATTTCTTTCATAGAATGTGCTTGTCACATGCTCAAAGTTGTAAGCGTCCATCCTTTTTTTCCCTGTAAATAGTTGCAAGAGATTTAAGTTGCGAACTTGTGCAATCCCATACTTAGTACACTGGATACGGTTCGTCCAGTCCCATTGTATGTTCGGTACTTGTCGTTTGATGTTTTTGTAACATCCCTCCGGTTCATTTCTGTTCCAATCAATCATTTAAACTCTTAATAGCCTTGAATTTGATGAAGCAGCTCCTACTGTAAATATGGGAAACCAATTTCCACAAGCTCCTACTGTATTTGTTCATGCATCCATAAGCTTCTTATCAGATATATAGCCTTCCAAGTTCATCACCCACAAAATGGTCATAAAACACTCTTCAAAGATTTCAAGCATTACCTTCACAAATGGGACAAAGTAACAGCAGGCTCAACATTGACAACCAATCAAAAGGCTCACAGCCTCAAACGTGGATAAAAAGTAACAGCAGGGTCAACATTGACAACCAATCAGAAGGCTCAAAGCCTCAAAGATGGATAAATTATTCCGTAGTCCCCAGATCGTTGGTCCGGTCAATTACCAATTGACATGCAAGCAAGAAAAGCGAAATAAAACTTGTCATAATTGACATGCAAGAAACAAAAATGAAATAAAACTTGTCATAATGCTTAAACACACTTGTTTACGTGTCAATCAATAGTGCCATCAATCATGTAATGATTTCTTTCAAACATGGTTTCCCATTGTAGTAACCTTTTTCTGCAGAGAAACTTGATTTGAGAATTTTGAGGCCCTGATTACATATGATAGAACTTATATTATGTGTCTTACATTAAAATTAGACAAAAATTAATTTTAAATTTTAACTAATTTTTTAACCTAGCTGTTTGACTTGGCCCGCTTTTTTTAACAAGCCAAAACCAGCACGTGGCCATTAGTGAAGCATTATTTACGCTGATATTATTATTATTATTATTCACTCTATATATATATATATATATATATTTAATTATTCACTATATTTACTATAAAAAAAAAATGACATGTATAAATTAATTATGACTCTCTAACCTATATATATATGTATAAGAGTAAAATACTGAACTCAAGTTTCTGATTAAGTCATGAGCAACTATCATATCATCTTGAATCCTCTTATGCACTTTGTTCTGGACCAAGTAGTTTGGGCTATCGTTGGACAAACTTGTTAATCAAATTCTATGACATGATAATTTTATCATTTTCTTGTATAAATATAATATTATAATATAATAACATTATTAACTTTTTGTACTTAAAATCATTTTTTTACTATAGGCAAAAAATTAATAACAAAGGAATTTGAGAGAGTTCAAAGTTGTAACGGCCTATTTATATGTAATTTATTAAAACCTCAAGGTAAATATAATCTTATATCTTTTTATAAGCCTAAAACAAAACTATATCATAATAACTTCTCCTATTATAAATATAACCTTCTAACAAGATCAAAACAAGAATATATTGTCGATGAACTAAAAGAAATTTTCTTTTTGTATTAATAAAAAAATTAATTTATATTTTAATCATACAAATATTAAAAAGGGACAAATTCAGCCGTTGCATTGATACTCGGCTCAATAACACCTATTTTTTTTTTTTACAACAGTAACAACCTTTTAATAACTTACATAAATGATTAATTTTCAAAAAGACAACCATATAAGATCTGCGGCTGAGATCATCGAGAGATTTTCTTTTCGCTCTACACATAATTCAGAATATTTCAGAACACGGGTTTAGTACCACAGTACCAGACCAAAAGAGAAGAAATGGCTGGCGAAGAAGATAAGCAAAGTCTCTCTCTCTACAATTTCTCATAATTAGGGTTTCGTGTTGGATTTTGACTTAATGTGCTTCTATTATTATAAATTTTGTATACATGTGAAATTTGACTAACAGCACAACTATGGTTTGTGGGTTGTTTAGGTTCTGTTAAAAGGGTCGCTGTTGTTGGTGCTGGTGTTAGGTACGTTCTTTAATCTATACACACATTCGAATTATTGTTTAATTGGGTGATTAATTTTGCATATACAATGTTTGGACACAATTACCTTCGATATGTGTGGCTTATCTTAAAAAAAGTACTTTCTTGAGCATAGTTTGTGTTTGTGTGTCTATGTTTTTTTTTTTTTTTTTTTTTTTTTGGGTGTGTGTTGTTTCAAGGAAATAACATAATGTGGGTTTACTAATTGAAAATTTGAAGTAAACAGTTATGTGTGTATGTGTGTTGTTTAAGTACTTCTTGAGCATAAGGTGTGTGTGTGTGAGAGAGAGAGAGAGAGTGAGAGTGAGAGAAAGAGAGAGAGAGAGAGTTGTTTCAAGCAAAGAACATAATGTGGGTTTATTAATTGAAATTTTAAAGCAAATAGTTATTGTTGGCTATCCTATTAATTTAAATTGCACAAAAAGGACTAGATTGTTGAAAAAAATGTTCTTTTGATTATAGAAAATTATAAAAGTTTTCATATGGTATTATGGACTGAGTAGACCATTAATTATTTTAATTTATTTGCATCATTTAAATTCAATATAAATAAATTTCAATCACCTCTTTTGTGGGGTGTTTGCTTGTTTTTTTGCATGAGGCCACATGTGCATGACTAAAATTATTTTGGGTTGTGCCAAATTACTGTGTTAAGTGTGGTAGGTGTGTTCAAATCTCCAGTCTCCAGTTGTTGTTTGCCAGGCACCCGCTATCTCAGTAACTTCAGAGTTTGGTGTTTACTGGCATGTTTGTTTAATTCTTTCGACTTTTCTCATGTTATTTATGCCTGTACAAATGATTTTGATGTATAAATATTTGAAAAGGTGCTTTTCGTTTCCAAAAATTGACATTGTCTTTACTTCATAATTTTCAAGTGGGCTTGCTGCAGCATACAAGTTGAAATTACATGGTTTGAATGTCACAATATTTGAAGCTGAAGGTAGAGCTGGAGGGAAGTTACAAAGCATTTCACATGACGGTCTAATATGGGATGAGGGGGCAAATACAATGGTAAGTTCATGGGTACCATCATAGATTTCCTCTCAATCCACAATTATGTATCAATGGCAAAATCTTGAATTTCAAGAAAGAGTAATGATTTTGTGTAAAAAATTTGGCTTTTTCTTGATTTTGCAGACGGAGAGTGAGACGGAAGTCAGATGTCTGCTTGATAACCTTGGGCTTCGAGAAAAGCAACAATTTGTAAGGGTTTCTATTCTTATACATCTTAGAGGTTTAGAAGTATGATTTTTGTTTTTTCAAACTATGTCAAGGGTCCCTGTTTTAAATTTCATTCTCCAAACAGAGAGTTCCTTTTGAGTGAAAGCTTATTTCACTTTTTGCTAATGCGTAAGTATGTTTCTTGGTACGATTGTTACATTGTAGTTTTTGCTATGCACACTTGGATGATGAGTTGTCGCCAAAACATATTGTAAAGTCTTGCCATTAAGTTACCACTATCTATTGATTTATGGGTTCTATCTAGTAGATTAGTATCTGAAAAAATAGATGCCTATCAGCCGTCTTTTTTTCACATTTAGATTGTAGAAAATATAAATTACCGTGCTTATAAACCTTGTTTTTAATGAATTTCAGTTGTTTCATCCTTGATGAAGCATGTATTTGCGGAAACCATTTTTCAAATGAATATTTTGGCAGTTGGGATTGTTTCTGGCTCTTCTTTGAGTACATCTTGAAGGACAAGTTGTCCTTTGTATTTTTTCTGTTCTTGTTTGAATAATATTGTTGTTTCATATTAATAACAAAATGCTTCTTATATGCGTCTAGATCACTTTAAACTTTAAAGGATAGAAGGTTTGGTGATAGCCATTTGATGTTGTTTGCGTCACTGCATTTTTTTGGATAATCTGTATAATTGTTGGATTTTGTGGTGGTTATGAATCAATTCATTTTCAAAGTTCTTTTATTCGGTCTTATTTGTATTTTATGAATTATTCAGATATTGTGTATCGCTCTTATCGTTGTGGTTTCTTTTTTCCAAACTTTTAGTATCTTCGAACCAACCTGAATAAAGACACATGTAAACTTGCTAAAAAGTGGTGAAAGTACCATGAAAACCTCAATTTAAATCTTCCAAGCTCAATTACTTTTATGGAATAAATGGAAACTTCATTTTATTGTGCTATTATGAATATAAGCAATCGTCTTCTTGCTAAGAATATAGAGCAGGCTTCAACATGGACGCATGCTTTGTAGACACAAGCACTAAAGTTACACCTTTTGGTTGGAATTAGCCTGAAAATGTTTTACAGATTTGTTCCATGATATATGTCTTAGAAGTAAACAGAGGCGGGTTCACTTGTGAGCACCCGATGTGGTGTTGGAAAGTATTGTGTAATGGCTCTTAAATACACCAGATACCATTGTTGATAGGAAGACAAGTGTAACGTGTCTTAAATACACAAAGTTATGCATCCTAAATTTTATTTATTTTGCTGGCAACTGCTTTATCATATTACTTACCAAAAAAAAAAGTGCTTTCTCATACTATTCATTTTACAGCCAATTTTGCAGAACAAACGCTATATTGTGAGAAATGGAACACCGGTATTGGTATGTTCCCCTGTTGCATCTATGTTGCTGATTGAGTTTCCTCTTCTCTTTAGTAAGAAATAAAGGGGCTTCTTTTTGCTGCATATTTTCTTTTTCTCTTCTATGCATTCAGGGTCTGTGTCTCTGACCATTGCTTGTGCTCAATTTTTCACATCAGTTACCATCAAATCCCATTGCGCTGATAACAAGCAATTTTCTTTCTGTGCAATCAAAGGTATGTTTTCAATTAAATGCTTGAGGTAATCATGAGAACTAAGTTTTTCAAGCCCTTTTTGTTATATTACAAGTTTTAGGTTAACCAGTTCATCAATATTGTACAACTACATCAATTGTTGAACATAATTGATAAGGAGACATACTCTTTAATTTGAAGCTGATAGGTTTTCACGCTGTGGATCATTAGAATTGTGAAATTTAAAAAGTTGATCCATTCTTAGACTCTGGCAGATACACTGTACTATTTTCCCAAAGTTATAGCTGTGGACCACTTTTCTTGGAATTTAGAAATTTACATGGAGTTCTCAGGATTCCTTACATAACAATTTTTAATCATGACAACCTAAGGGCATGGTTATAACTTCAAAGGCTTGACCTATTTGATCAGACACGAATAATATTGTTAAAATTTGATCTCTTTTCACTCCCAAACATGCACTTTGGCTAGGATGGTCTGTTATGGATTTGCTGAAGTGCCGTATAGGTGACATTGTAGCATGATGGCAATGGATGAGTTCTTTGTGTTTGTATCAGAATTCAGAAATCAGTATTTGCAACCTGCAATTCTGGTCAAGGAATTGAAAGAGGAGGGGAGTCACTTGGTTATGTTCTTTTCTGAATCCTTGGCGAACAGCGGGGATCATGAGTATGGATATTAACTCTTATCGACAACTTCAAACGACATAATGTGTGGAAGTTAAGCTATAAATTTGACTTCTAATGGTTCACAACAAATTTTTGCTGAATTAATGATGTCTGTGCAATATAATGTTGTTGATCAATGAAAATGAGCTTTTGTCATTGAAATTCATCACTGCAAGGATTTGTACAGAAACAGTAGAATCGTATTTGGCATCAGCACAGGATTTTTTGATATTTTTGTGATGAAAATTAACTCTTTTGTTTACTGGAACCTTTCTAATTCAGTTGAATATGCCCTTATAATATAATGTGTTTACTTATTTCCAGTTTCAGATATTTTTGGAGCCTTTTTTGTGGAAGAAAAGTAACTTATCAAAGGTTTCTGATACACAGGAAAGGTAATTGATATAATTTTCCAATGAAGCAAAAGCTTTTAACTTCTCCTGTGGTACTTCCCTTCATATCTATAGTTTCACTTGATATTACTTGTGATTAAAATTAAGTGCTTAATTAATGAACACTTGATGTATGTATTTACATATTTCTGTCTCTTCTGTGTGTGTGGGTGTTGGCAAGCTTGTGCGCATGTGTGTGCATAAACACTTGTTATTTGTTTCTGCAGGAATAAATGATGAGCTTGGTCAAATTAATGTTTTAAATTATTAGCCTGGTGAATTTGGCTGAATATGGTTTATGGAAGGAAAAAATGTTATGCTTTGCTTGTACGTTATGGTAAAAACTTAGAAAAATTTCAGCCTAAAAAGTTTTCAGAATTATGTGCCTCTAGGAAAAGCATTTCTTGATATCAAGGAGTGCGTCTTTGAACTTAGTTGTATTTAGTTCAAGTATTACTGTATATGATTTAAATTAGCTTAGGTCATAATTTGGCTTGATTAAGATTCTAGTTAGATTTCTAAGTTAATCTTAAAAAATTAAAAACTGTGCTCGCAAGGGAACTCTTTGTAATATGTAAAATATTTGTTTCTTAACTTCCCATCCAGTTCATGTGCTTATTTTACCTGGATATGATGTTCATGACACCTTGATGTGATTGTTTAATTTTTATATTTTTAAAGTGGAAATTGTATCTGAATTTTGTATGCAATATATCATTTCCAAAAGTCCAACCATCCTGAGGACGCTCGCCAAGCCTCTTCTGAGATCTTCTGAAATCCATCCGATTGCTGTCTCTCTCTCTCTCTCATACACATAAACACACCCACACACACTCCATAACTATCTAGTTTGTCATGCAGAATAGTGTGTAAATTCATTTTCTAAAAGCCTTTTTAGTGTCAACTGCAATTGTTTGTATTTAGGAACATGTTTCATGTATTCGGGTTCATCTTCGTGTGTTGTAATTGGTCATTGTATAACTGAGTGATCATGGCAGGTGTTCCGTTGACTTAGAAGTTCATATCATTTTCTTCTTCGATTTTTTTGGCAGTTGAGGAAGCAATCTTGTCACTTGAAAGGTTCCTAACATTGTAGTCCTTTTTTTCCTTTACTTTTTTGCAGTGTGGGTGGATTTTTTCAACGTCATTTTGGGAAAGAGGTATCTCTTGCTTGATTTACGATGATAATTTCCTTTTTTATTTTATTTTTAGATACATATGATGTTTAAGAGAAATTTATTTGGTTAGTATAATGATTTAACATGCACGTAGTAAAGTCAATTCCTCTTGAGCTGTTAACTGGAAATATTTCATGATTTTTTTTTTTCCTTCATTTCTCTGTAAGGTTGTTGAGTATCTTATTGATCCATTTGTTGCGGGGACAAGTGCTGGAGATCCTGAATCACTTTCTGTGAGTATATATTAGAGATATTTTTTTCATTCTGTAATATCTTCATGATAAGGATTATAAATGTGATTGCTTTGGAATAATATCAACTTTATGCCAAATTAGGACCCCCACCGAAAAAAAAAAAAAAAAAGAGAGAGAGAGAGAGAGAGAATTAAAGATCAGGACGAGTTTCTGACCTTTATTAAGTATCTAACCTAAAGTTGTTTGGTTTTGGATGAAATAGGAAAGCTCTCTTGATTCTTTCTTTATGCTGCAACTTCTATCCCTCATGGTTACTTTTTTTGGCATCCGCCTAAACTGGTAAATTTTATTTCTTTCTCATTGTCCAAACAGATGTGCCATGCATTCCCAGAGCTATGGGATCTAGAGAAGAGGTACATCTGCAACTATTTTTGTTTTAACTTTTTCTATTCTTATTTTTCTTTAGTCTCGCTCTTTGATTCTTTGGTTAATTAGAGTAGTGGTTGTACTTCCATATCTATTCATTTATATAATATTACAGGTTGTATTATACTTAATATATCCATTTCCTTTATCTTTGATTTTTCCATTTTTAAATTTAATTCAGAAATAGGGAATGTGATTGTGCCAGTCTGGTTGCATTCATTGCAAGTACTATTTAAAAAATTTTGGTGTGAATTATGCGAGTTCTTAGAGATAGAACCATATAGTTAAGTTTTCTATTAAAATTTCATTATGTGGTAAGAATTATTCTATGCCCTTTGGAGTAACTTCAGCTTCAGCTGCTTATAATTAGCAAACAAGAGTAATTATAATTGTATCCTTCAACGTTGTATTCTATGCCCCTTTGAACTGTTATACTCTTGAAGATTGATAAATATTTCCAAGTGAAAATCCCTTTATTGCTAACTTATAGCATATCATATACTTGTTGACAAATAGGCATTTTTCTACATTATCAGGTTTGGTTCAATCATACTGGGGGCATTTCGATCTAAATTATCTGCAAGAAAGGAAAAAAGCGGAGGAATGAGGGATCCTCCAGCAAATAAGAAGCGTCAGCGTGGTTCTTTTTCATTTCTAGGTGGGATGCAGGTAATGATAATCTTGGCTGACTTCTAGTGATCACAATGATTAACGTAATTTGCATATTGTACCACATGTGCTTGTGTGTGAAGGGCATGCCTGGCATTCATTTCAACATTTTAAAAATGCTGGGACAGAAACCTCACTTAAATTTAGTATCATTGCCAATGCTTCCAATCATTCAGTACATTTCATATGGTACATATATATTTTTTTTCTTCTTTCCTGTAAGGCCATATGATACACTGTTATTAAATTATATTTAAAATGTGAAACTGATGATGGAAGAAGTTTGGTAATAGGAAATTGTGTATACGGCCAAAAGAGAAAAGACAGAATATGATCTGTACTCTACCTAATAAGGTGCCTATGTGTTGGTATGATTCGGTTCAACTCAACAAGCCTTAACCCCAAGTACTTGAATCAGCTACATGAATCTTTTTTTTTGGATCACCCATATCCCTGTCTATATCCGAGGAAATCATGACATAATCTTAATCTCAACCTATGTTCTTTTCGCTTTTTCTTTTATTCTTCAATGCATTTAAACTTAAATGACTCTTCTGTACTAGTGCATTAGTTGATTTACATAGTATACATCAATACCTTTGTAAACGACATTCCCTTATGTTATCTTGTACGATTGTATCAGTGCTGGGTTTAACTTTCCACAAAAGGATTTGCATTTTTTCCCATCCTTTTCTTGAAATGCAACTTATCCATCCCAAAATCCTTGATTTCGCTACGCTCTTCAACACTCCCCACCACCACACACACACACACACAAAAAAAACCAACATCCCCCAACAAAACCCCTGCTTCAAACTATTTTCTGCTTAAAAATTCACCCACACAAAGAAAAGAAGTGCTTATTAGTATAAAATTATACACCGTATTACTGATAAAATAATTATTATTTTCTGATATCTGAATCTTTTGCAGACCCTAACTGACACGCTATGTGGAGAGCTTGGCAAAGATGAACTTAAATTTCAATCTAAGGTGCTGGGGTTATCTTACCGCTGTGATGAGAATTCTCCGTTGACAAATTGGTCAGTTTCTATTTCCCCCGACCACAAGAAGCATTCCCAAGAGAAATCTTTTGATGCTGTAATAATGACGGTGAGTATGTTTCATACCTATACATCTTCTTTGACAATGATAAGACTTTTTTGAGTCTATATTTTCAACACTGGATTCCACTCTGTGTGGTACACATTAAATTTGACTGCTGCTTGGAACATTACCCTAGTGCTATATTCCCAATGTTGAAAGTAAAAGCAGGAAACGAAGGAATAGTTCATGTCTTTTTCACTTATTTTCCTCTTCTTACATTGCTACTGGTTACAATTTATGCAAGTTCCTTTGTAATAAAGATGTTGAGAAAAAGTAACCGAAATAATGGTTACTTCAACACTTGAATCTTCCACTATCCTCACATTTGGGGACGAACCTTAAGCGCAAAGTCGTACCTATATTGCACAACCTATGACATTAGATGTTGATATTTTATTTTGTGGATGATAAGACACAGCTTGACTTGATGCTGAATATATCCTCTCTCTCTCTCTCTCTCACACACACACACACACACACAAACACAAACACTTGCAGAGGCACAACAATTCAGACACTCTAAATCCCTGCCTTCTTCAGATTTTTATGCTGCTTGAAGGAACATGATTTGTTTTTTAGATAAGTGAAGGAACATGATTTTTATTGACAAGGAACCTGTTTATCTTAGGCTCCACTATGTAATGTTAAGGAAATGAAGGTTACAAAAAGTGGAAGTCCATTTCTGCTTGATTTTCTTCCTGAGGTATGTACCGCTCATTGTATTAGTGTGTTCGAATAATGAATATTACCTTATAATCCCATGAAGTTACAAAGTTTTATGTTGTATTAATAAGTAGATACGTACTCTTGGACATAATGCAACAATGCATGCATCTGTCCACAGTTACATCCATAAAAGCAAACATGCACATTATACATAAAACCCTCTAAAGATTACCGTGGTGAAGGACTATGATTGAGTTATGTACATTTTAACTCCAATCATTGCGCTAAATCTCAGACGGTCGTCAAGGGTGGCAAGCAAATGCTTCCTCTCTCATATTGAATATCTATATGAATATATTAGGTGGTTGCCTTTGATGGCCATTTAAGTTTGGGATCTGTACCCACTACTCACCATCGGTGGACTAATTCATTATGTTATTTGTGGGACAAAGAGAAAATTTGTTGAATGAATTGAAACAAAAGATTATACCTATTCACAGGAAAAATTAGTTTTCTAAAAAGATATTTGGTTCCTTTTTGTAGTCAACAAAACATACCTTTTGTCTCCCAAATGGTGCCCTGTTGGCAGAAGAGGTTTCTATGGAAAATTCGACTGTTATGTGGCATTGCATTGCCTCACAAAAAAGAGACCCTAAATGTCACAATCTTCTTTTATAGTCTCTTTCAGCTCTGTGGTAGCGTTCCTAGGTTTTTCACTTTCCACAATGCAGGTGAGTTATTTGCCACTGTCAGTTATTATCACTACATTTAAGAAGGAGAATGTCAAGAGACCTCTTGAGGGTTTTGGAGTTCTTATTCCTTCCAAGGAGCAACAATATGGTTTTAAAAGCCTTGGTAATGCTTTTTTGTCCCTTTTTTTTTTTTTTTTTTTCCTGAATCTTGTTTATGGAATTTTTTTTCCCTGAATCTTGTTTGTGGCTTTGATCAATGCAATAATTAATGTTTGTCTTCCTAATATTGCCACTATTCACTTGCTGCCATGCAGGTACCCTCTTTTCTTCTGTGATGTTTCCAGATCGTGCACCCAGTGATTTATATCTCTATACTACCTTTGTTGGGGGAAGTCGAAATAGAGAATTGGCAAAAGCTTCAACGTATGGGAAGCTTCAATGTTTTCACTTTGTTAACTGTGTCTTGCATGCTTCATTCTGCTCTCAGTTGTTACGTTGTTAGTATGTACTTCCACTAATAATTTATGCATTCTCACATCAACGATGGTATAGGGATGAGTTGAAGCGCGTAGTAACTTCTGACCTTAGACAGTTGTTGGGTGCTGAGGGAGAGCCGACATTTGTGAAGTATGGATATCATTAGTGCTTAATGTTTTTAAAAATTTCATTATTTATTATTTACTTATTTTTCTCCTTTTAGTCGTTAAGATTGTGAATGAACCTACTTGGAACCAATGTTGTCATTTACCTTATTTCGGTTCTATTCTCTTAAGGCTGCCTGCTTGATTGCAGTCACTTCTACTGGAGTAAAGCATTTCCTCTGTATGGGCGGAATTATGACTCTGTTATAAAAGCCATTGAGAAGATGGAAGAGAACCTTCCTGGATTTTTCTATGCCGGTAACTTCTTCTAGCTTCTAATTCACACTAATGATGGGATAACATAAACTGTCATTGAATGGTATTCATCAACCTTTAGCTGCGCAAAAGCCTAGCAGATCTTGCAGACTCCTACATCCAAATATCGGGATAGTTGTACGCCTTAACATCTCATAAGATTTAATGATTTGTACAATTCAGACAAAAAATCTTCCAAACATGATTGTTCATCTTTTGAAGTTCAGTGGTTCTTCCCTATTCTGTTTTGGTAGGCATACTTGAGAAAGCAATTAGAAACAAATCATACTTCCCTTTTGCATACATGCAGGATCTGTTAGCTCCTATCTTAATGGATGCAAGTTAAAGAAAACCGAAGAAATATCTGTTTCTTAACACATGCACGTTTATTATCCTTTGATTAATGGATGCAAGTTAAAGAAAACCGAAGTAATATTTGTTTCTCAACGCATGAACATTTATTATCCTTCTGATCCATTGTCACGCTTAGGCATATCCACCAGTCATGGCAGCAATCTATGAAAATCTCATCTAACTCAACAAGTTGATCATAATTTTGTTCGATTCATACTATATATTTATTTCTGGCGTATATGATATGATCCTTGGAACTGTTAGGTAACCACAAGGGTGGACTGTCCGTTGGCAAGGCAATAGCCTCTGGGTGCAGAGCAGCTGATCTCGTGATCTCATATATAGATTCATCTCTCGTTGAAGACAAGATCTGTCGTTGAAGACGTAGAATATGTATCCTTATGGTTGGCTCTCTGTAACAGTGCTACCTGTTTTGCCTTCCTCCTCGTTTAGTAGGGTTGAAATTACAAAATTTGTTAATGAATGCTACATTCATATCTGGTTCTTCTGAGCTACTTTCTCCTTGTAGAGTATATTTTATGTTTTATTGAAATTTGCAATTCTACATGCATAAATATGCAGCCACTTTCTACTAGTTAAAGAAATTAAGAAAGGAAAAAGAAAGAGCACTATCTTCATCTTGGATGAAACCCTTTTATCCACGGCTTCAAAGCAATATATATATACACACATACATATATACATGTACCAGAAATGATCTCTTGCTAATTGGTGAGCAAGTAATTTATCCACACTAAAGATGCATGCTAACAGTTGGATATGATTATTATGTTTTTTTTGATGATTTCATTTTTTTGCACTTAAATCATATCTAAATGTTATCATGTGGTGGGGAGAAAATTTCTTCGTTCACAAAGTCAAAGCAATTTTAGAAAGAGAGTATGAAATTTCCTTTTGAAAAATTGAATCTTTCTGATAAATCACAAAAACCAGTCACCAAAATAGAGTAAAATACCAAAATAGTATTAAAATTTGTTTTTTGATAATAATATATATATAGATTTTTTTTTTTTATAAATCAAACCGTCAACCCGACCCAACCCGTCCAAAAATATTCGGGCTGGGTTATAACCATAACCATGTTGGGTACAATTTGGCTGGCCCAATCCAACCCGATTTGGGTTGAGGTTGGGCTAGGTTGGGTCAGCCCAACTTGTAGCCCTACTTAGAGCAAAAATGATTATTAGAAAAAGAAGCCATACACCAGATTTAAATGCAGAAAAAGAGCATCGATTGGTTTTGAGTTTTGGTCCAAATTGTACTTTTGTTTGGAGATTAATGGCGCCATTCAAAGGAGACATGTAGTCCTTGGCACAAGGAAGAGCTGTTTTGGATTAAATTAAGTAAAATCATATAGAAATAAATAAAAACTTGTGTCATAGTTTAAAAATCTATATTTCCTTTTGAGGAAAGTAAGTTTATATTAATTCCTTAGTGAATGGAAAAATCAATGAGAAAAGAAAATTTGAGAGATGCCTAATATTTGAAATTGACATGATTCATAGTAAAAAAAAAAAAACGAAAAAGAAAAAAAAAAAAAGCCACTTTCTGAAAAAATAAAAAAAGTAAATAAAACAATAACAATAATAACTCAAAATAATAATAAATTAAGAATGAACCAAAAATGTTCTACCTTTATTTTGATTCTGATGATGTTTGGCAATTTGTACTTATTTCTTAGGTTATATAGAGGTACAATTAGATTTAAATGCAGAAGAAGGGCATCGATTGGTTTTGCGTTTTGGTACAGATTTTAGTTTTGTTTCGAGATTAATGGCTGCTATTCAAAGGAGACATGTAGTCCTTGGCACAAGGAAGAGCTGTTCTGGAAAGGACACCCTCACAAGAAAATGGACTTCATATTCTACTGTCCTATTTTTGGCTATTTTTTATCGTTCAAATGTTTAGGAGGACCTAGAATTATTTATGTATTGTAATATATATATATGTGTGTGTGTGTGTGTGTGTTTACAAAAGTGTCTAGTTGCTTCGAGAATTTTGATTATCCTATTTTTGGCTATTTTTTATTGTTCAAATGTTTAGGAGGACCTAGAATTATTTATGTATTGTAGTATATATATGTGTTTACAATCATCAGAAGAACTAACACTTTGACTTGCCAAAAAATAAGAAAGAACTAACACTTTGATTGGGTAAGTTAAATTTACATTTGAAATATTGATCTTGATCTTTATAAGTTTATATTTAAATTAACTTGATATAATTATTATTCTTCTTCTTTTTCTATTTTAGTTTTATTTTTTATGCTAGGTTGAAGAATGTCATCATCAACGAAATTTATTGTAAGTTGCTTTATTTTGTTAAGTCATTTTTTTCTAAGTTAGCTTTACTTTGTTAAATGGTTTTTCCTTTTTTTATAAGGTGAAATTTATAAATACCAAGCAAAACCTACAGTAAACAAAGACAAAAATCATGGAAAGGCCATTCATCTGGAGTCATTATTTAGAGGGACATATATGTCTTATACATACTTGTTTTTTTGTTTTTGTTTTGTGGTGTTTGTGTAATGCGATATATGTGTGTGTGTGACAGTGTGTGCTCTCTTTAAACTGATATTAATTTTTCCATTAGAAGAAATATCTATTATAAATGTATGCATATTGCAGAAAATGTATGCATAGGTAACAATTTATATTTTATTTTTTCCTGTAATTTGTTCCTCTATTCTTTATACTCCTTATTTTTTCCAAATATATATATATATATATATATATATATATGTTGCTAGTATATCATAGCATTAGAACACTTCCTTTTGTGTGTTTTTGAAATTGCAGACTTATTCAAAGAAGATTCCCCACTCTGTCAATTGGTCTAACATAGTAACACCAGTTAGGCAGCAAGGGAGGTGCAGTAAGTAGATAGAATATTTATAATTTTCTTTAAATAATTAATTAATTTCATGAAATATTAATAAATATTTTTTCAAGCTGGACGCTTGTTGGGCGTTTGATGCTGCGGGATGTGTGGAGTGTCTTCGTAAGATCAAGAATCCAAATGAAGATACGGTTGAACTTTCAAAACAAGAGCCGGTTGATTGTGTTCCGGTAATATTTTCGCCAAAACCGGATAAAGAGACTGATGAAGTGGGATGTCAAAAAAAACTCAATTATCAATGCGTTCACATATATAATGGAATATGGAATAAGTACGGAAGAGAAGTACCCGTACATGGCTGAGAAGGGAGAATGCAAGCCAAAAAACAATGTACGTACGTCTACAGATTCGTTATTAATTTGTCGTTTCCTTTTGAAGTATAATTAATCTTTATCTTCCTTTTTACAACTTTGTTTTAGGTTTCGTACAGTAGATCATTGGGATGTAATGGCTATACTTATGGCACTAGTTAAACAACCATTGGGAGCTCGAATCGAAGTATTTCGATCATTTATTGATGTCAAAGAGGTTAGCATTATATTAATGGTAGAATAATTTATTATCCATCTCTATGTATAAACTCGATTGCTATTTATCTTTCTTAACGGAGAATTATTAATTGTTAGGAAATCTATGAAGGACAACAACCTAGTGATGAGGAATCACTGGGAATGCATGCAATCATGTTAGTTGGATATGGTATAGATGAAGAGACCGGAATTGAATATTATTTAATAAAAAACACCTGGGGAGAAAAATGGGGAGTGGATGGTTTTGGAAGGATCATAATCGATTCATATATAATTGCCAATGTATCGTATCCCACAATATGTTGATCGAGGTCAGTTTGTGTGTGTATATATAGAAAGAAGGGGCATACCCTAAACTAAAAAAAACATTTCCAATACATATATAACAAAGAAAGATACAGCATGAAGAAGAAAGGCAGATATCAGTCTTCCATTGAAAAGGTTCAGCGCCAACAAAACCTCCCACTGCATAGAAGAAGAGTACGTAAATGAGTAGATGTCCACTTTGATATATATATAGGTTCAGCGCCAACAAAACCTCCCACTGCATAGAAGAAGAGTATATATATATATATATCTATGCAGTGGGAGGTTTTGTTGGCGCTGAACCTTTTCAATGGAAGACTGATATCTGCCTTTCTTCTTCATGCTGTATCTTTCTTTGTTATATATGTATTGGAAATGTTTTTTTTAGTTTAGGGTATGCCCCTTCTTTCTCTTGTATTAAGTACTGTACTCCTTGTTTATTTTTACTATATCTCCCACTCGGAGGAAAAACAAAAACAAAAGTATTTGACAAAAAATGTACTACTTTATATTAACTATTGGTGTTTTCTTGCATTGTTTTTGTTGCCACTCTATTTATATATGATGGCATGATTAAAACAATTACTCCTATAAGATAGTTGTGTATCAAGTATACTATTGATTTAGTTTCACAGTAAAAGAAGAGACTAAAGCATATTATGCTTTTTCATTCTTCAACGGAATGGATTCAAATGGGTGAGAACTAATACTTTAATTTATTCATTTTCAATTAAAGACGAGTTGTCTTTTATGTACTTCAATTTAGCAAATACAGTAGTAATACATATAGATGCATGTGGGATGCCTTGGGTGAATGCTAGGTGTAGGATGCAATTTCTTAATTGTAAAGATTTGAGCACTGGTCATAGTGTGTGGAATCTGAATTATTGATTATAAAAATATCACGTGACATAAAAATTATAACTTAATGACTATAATGCCCTTGTAAACATGAGAATACTATATTACCCCTTATTTTAACCATTACACCAAAACCCCTCTTTAAATAACTTACACCCAAACACACCCTTGCGCGCACTCCCCACCTCTATATACACTGTTCATCTTCTTCACAAGGCGTCCTTCAATATTAAAAAAATAATAATAACCAAATTGAACCCAGCCAATTTGGGCTGTTGTGCTGATATACACACACATATATGTCTAGCTTTCTGATAAATTAAAAACAAAAAATTTGCCAAAATGAACCCTGGGTTTGTTGTGTTTTGTGTTTTGTTGTGTTTTGTGTGGATATAATACATACGTGTATGTGTCACGTATATATAGATGCCTATATATATATATATATATATATATATATCAGCACGCATACATACATACGTGTATGTGTCATGTATATATAGATGTCCTCTTTCTCTTGTCTCTCTTTCATCAGATTTGTTAGCTATTGTATATACAGATAAAAACCCAATTGTTTAGAGCCCTAATTTCAGAAAATCCAAAAATTGAATCCCCAAATCAACTCACTCTGCATTAATGAAAAAAAAAAAAAAAAAAAATATCAAACTTACTACTCTTAATATCCGTTCGTGCTGGAATCGAGAGAACCCGGAAAACCGCACCATGATCCGCGTCACCAGGGTGGTCGGAACCACCACCGCCGAGGCGGCGCGAATCGAGGGAGTTCAAAAATCGCTCCCAGCAGCACGGAGGCGTAGAACATCTTTGATTTTCTCTCTCTCTTGTCTGCCATGGATGCTTCTTCGTCTTTGATTTCCACTCTTTGGTCAGCCATGGTTGCTGTTTTTTGATTTGCTCTCTCTGCTCTCTTCTTTCCATCTCTTTGTACACTTTCCTTT